TTTATGCCTGGACCCTGGGCCGTAGCTTACTGCTCACAGCCTTTTTCCTAAAGAGTATTTATCCCCTGTGACTACAGACAAACAATGATTTAAAAATTGGTTTCCAGGGCTGGGGATTTAGCTCAGTGGTGCTGTCGCCTACCTTCCAAGCACAAGGTCCTGAGTTTAATCCTTGGTACCAAAAACAAACAAACAAAAAACAAATAAAAGTTGGTTTCCAACATTCTGCTAATGGCTGCCAAGTTTCCTTACTTTAAAATGAGCTGGGCTTCATCTCAGCACACTGTGAGGCTGAGGCAGGAGGATCGCAAGTTTGAGCCCAGCCTGGGCAATTGAACGACTTAACAAGAACCTCTGTCACAATAAAAAGATTTTTTAAACTACTGGGAATGTAGCTCAGTGCAAAGGCCCTGGGTTCAATCCCCAGTGACAAAATAAAAACAAAGAGAAAACACAAAACAGGATGTCATCATCTTCATCCCCAGGCAGAATGGATTATCCACTCTGAATTTCTTCCATATCTGAGACCTTTTTGGCCACAGGCCCCTTTTCCTGTGTTAGCCAGCATTCTTTTTTTTTTTTTTTTTTTTTTTTTAATTTTGCTTTTGGTACCGGGGATCGAAATCATGCTGGAACCACTAAGCTAAACCCCCATCCCAGTCAGGGTTCTTTTTTAGAAGCAATAGAGTTGGACACGCACTGATTTAAGCAAGACTGGAACACACTGCAAAATACCAGCAGCTGACAGATGCCCGCGGAGGGCTGGAGACCTAGGCTTGAAGGATCAGGAAGGATGAAGGAACACTGGTACTTGGACTCAGCCCGGGGAATGTCTGGACCGGCTTCCAGGCTGGGGCTCGGCCCATGGTGGCCCAGAGGCCGTTCATGTTACGGCGTGGGTTCACTGAGTTCACAGGGAATCTCGGGGTAGGGTTGTCGTGGGGACTGTGGGCTAGGGATGCCTCAGGGCTCAGAGCAACCGGGCACCCGGTGAGTCTCTCCTGGTTCCTTGATCCGCCCGCTGCATGCTTCTTCCTCCACGATGGACATTCAAATGTCAGCCTGGGCCTGGAGATCAGGCTCCTCTCGGCCGCCGCATGGGACACTCAGCCTGCAGCCCGCTGCAGGGCGGACGCCTGGGGGCAGCGAGTGGCAGAGCCCCAGGGTTCCAGGTGGCTGTCACCTTGCTGGGCCGGCTGTTCCGGGACCTGTCCCGCTCCCCAGCCCCGGCTGAGAGCACTTTCCCAGGGATCCCACGCTGGAGGACGGGATGTGAGGTTGAGGAGGCCAGAAGACCCCAGTATGAGGAGACCTGTGTTCCTAGTCACCAAGACGCAGGCCGGCCTCGCCTGCCTGCGCGCCCAGCACAGGGCCTGAGTTCCCACAGCAGCTTGGGGCGGGGCTCTCACTGCTCCCTGCCCTGGGAGTGGCCAGTATGGAGCGCACCAGTGGGTCCTGGATCGCCTGGAGGGGAAGGCCCAGGGCTTGGCTCCGGGTTCTCAGCCCCTGGAGGACTTTCCCTCCTAACTCAGTGCTCTCCATGCAGGACCCGCCCCGGTGAAGCTCTGGGGCCCAGCCACCCTGCCCTAAGGACTCCCGGTCACTGCGTCCCCTTGGCTTCTCTATAATCCCTCACTCCCCGCAGTTAATTTTTTTTTGGAACCGGGGATCAGTTGGGACCTTGAGCTTGGGGGATAGGCGCCAGAACCACTGAGTTAAATCCTCGACCCTGCAGTGACTTGTTTTTTAGTCCAGCCCTCCCTTAACTCCTGGGCTCCAGAGATCCTCCTACCTGAGCCCCTGCCAAGAGGCTGTGAGCTGACTGCCCAGCACTGCAAGTCCTTTTCTTTCTTCTTTGTTATAAAAATTTAAAACCACAATTAAGAACTATCTCCCACTAGTGTAAAAATAGCTCAGTGGAGCAAATGAACAAGCTAGAAACAGACCTTAATCCATACATTTAAGAGTTGGTCTAGCACAAGGGAGCCATTGCAAATTCCCAGGAAAAGAATTTTAGTGGTGATATAATTGGGTAATTATTCTGAGTGATAAAGTTATAACCTCATTCCCAGTGATCACCAAAATAAATTCTGCACGGATTAAACAGTTTTCTATAAAATAGTGAATCAATGAGATCAGAAAAATAGCAAATGTCGAATCTCCAAATAGGAAACAGCTTTCTAAATTTAAACATTATTTCTCAGGCTGGGGGTGTTGCTCAGTGGTAGAGCCCGGCAGTCTAAGCCAGTGCTCAATACTACTATTAATAGCAATATTTTTAACAAATTAATTACTTGCTATTTTGTTTCAGGGACTCACTGTGTTGTCCAGCTTGGCCTCAAACACATGGCAGTCCTTCTGCCTCAGTCCCCCAGGTTCTGGAATTACAGGTGTGTGCCACCATAGAAGGCTTAGTAACAATAATTTAAAAACCACGGAGGAAAGTTTAAACCTTTGACACCAACTTGTTCTGTGGAAGTCTGTCCTCAGGTGAAACAAGAACTGCTGGTCAAGGCTGGGGAGTGAGGGCAGCCCTTTGTGTGTGCCTGGAGTGTGAGGAAAGGGACGGAACTGGCCTCCCTCTGGGCAAAGGGGTGTGCAGCCTCTCTCTTCCCCTCCACGCGCACGGAATGCTGGGAGCCCGGTCTAGGGCTGCTACAGAAAACTCCAAATTCTAATACCCTGCAGCTTGCTCACATTGCTTGAGGTAAACATTGGAAGTGGAGTCGCTTGTAGGCTGGGGAGCGTGCAGGAGGTCACCATTCCGGAGGCAGTAGTCAGTGGGGTCCCCAGCCAGGTGCTGGTCCCCAAGGTCTTTCCTCCAGCCAGGGAAGAGGGGAGGGCAAAGCCAAAGGGCTTCCCATGGTCCTTGGTCAAGGGGGCTGTGCAGCGGGAGAGGTGCCCACCGCGTCTTGTCTGTGCAGATGTTTTATGTACGCGGCACAGGCACACACGTCTACATAGTCTACATGTGTGCACATGTTCCATACATCATACACAGAACGCACATTTAGCATGATTGTGCCTACATGCACAGTGCATCATCTGGAAGTATGGACTCCTCTAGACGAGATGATACACGCGTAGAGCATGTGGTGCCCAATTCAAGACACAGAAAAGACTCACCTCTTGCATCAACTCTCTCCCTCCAAACTGAGCCCACCCCCCCACCCTCTCACACCCACCTCCCTGCCCCCAAAAGGGACTGTTGGGAGATCTTCACTATGTGAGCAAATCTGTGCATGTCATCTTCTTCCTCTTTCTGTCCACAAACTGTAATATTCTATGCTCAGTGTTAAGCACTTTGCATTTTCAAGGTCATTCCACAGATGCCTGGAATGTAAGCAATCCAGAAGCTGCTGTTTCTGCTTCCTGGAACCTAACAACACTCTGCTGATTTTCACTGTCTTTTTGAAATCGAACAGATGCTTGCTAAGGTCTTATGTCTGGACCAGTGGTGGCCACTGAGTGGTGTGCGTGCTTTTCTCTAGCTTGGCTTCTGGGATGGTGTCTTAAAATTATCTATCAAAGGGATTCTTATACTTTGCTGGGGTACTTTGAAAATCTGACCAAGGCAATGGACTTTGTATTCATCAGATGCACATGCCTGTCTTAGGCGGTGCATGATGGGCCTGGAAATACCCAAGGAAACTTTGCTAAGAAATCCCAGGATGTGATGCTGTTCAGACATGTGGGACCATTCATCAAAACTTAGAACAAGCCAGACACATTTCATCAGATTTAATGTCTTAGCTAGTGTGGGAGCGGTCCACGAGGAAAGGCTTTCATACCGAAGCTGTCAAAGGCATAGAAAGGTAAGACTGAGGCAGCTCCAGGAGTTGGAAGCAGAATAACAGGAGATGAGAGTCACTTGGGTGGGAAGGGCTAATTGACTCGGACCACAATTTCTGCCACCAAATGGAAATGTGCACCTCAGGCCCCATCAGATCCACAGGACCCCAAGTTCTGTGGGGGCAGAAATGTGTTTTAGACTTTATTAGTACATATTTGTCATACATATTGACCTGCACCCATTCCCATTCCCTCCCTTCAACTCTTCTTTTCCTCCCCATTTACAAAAGGTTTGTTTCTATTTTTTTCTTCCATTCTTTTTTCCTTGTCCCTTCTTTCACCTTTCCTTGTTCCCCTTCCCATTTGAACCGGTTCTTCCTACTTCCTAATGTCTATCCATTATGCTTATTTACCCTTTGAGTTTCTTGCACAGGAGAATCAATTCGATTTTAACTTTGTGTGTCTGATTTATTTCACTTAAGGTTATGGTCTGAAGATGCATCCATTTACCTACAAATGACTCATCTATCCTTTACCACAACAGTACTCCATTGTATACAATGCATCTGTTTTATCCATGCATCTGTTGATGGGCATACGGGCAGGTTCCAAGATTTAGCTATTACAAACTGTGCTGCTATAAACACGTGTGTATGCATCACGGTGGCATGATGCTTTTAACTCTCTCCAGACGCCAGGAATCTGAAAAGCGCCGGGGGTGCACGTGTGAAGTGGGTGTGAAAGCCACAGCGCAGGCTCCCACGGAGTAAGAGGGCGCGCTGGTTCCGACGAGCCCGAGTGGGCTCTGCGAGTTCAAGCAACTCCGGACGGGCTCCTTGTTACAAAGCCCGCTCGTCTCCGACCGTGAGGATCTCGAGGTGTCCTCCCGGCACCCACGAATCCAAACTCTTGGGAGGGGGACAGAGAACATGGGGGCCCACGGGGACCAGGGATAACCCTCCTGACACAGTCCGGGAGTTCCGCCCAGTCAGCACAACATCCAGTCTCGCCTATAGCACCCCCACTTCCGGTATGTAGGCGGTGGGGACCGGAGGCTCAGCCAATCAGCGCCCTGGCCTTCTTCCGGTGTTCTGCGTGCTACCATGGAGACGGGCCAGGTCCGTTAAAAGGCGGAGGGATCTCGGCTGGCCGCGCAAAGGTGAGTCCCGCCTACCGCCTGCTGTTCCCTCCCGGTCAGGGCCATTGGGCTAGCCCAGAGCGGCCCGCCCACTCACTTCCGATTTCCGGCCAATGGGAGCGCGTGCCGGCCGGCCAGTCAGCGCTCGTTCTTTCGGCGTCGCGCGCTGCCTGGGAGACTAGAGGGCTAGCCAGGCGCGGAGGGTGCGGCTGACCAGGTTCGTGGCGTCGGAGGAGTCAGTGATCCGACTCGAGGCTCACACTTTGGTCCGGGGCCCCTGCCCCGGCCTGCTTGGCTTCGTCGCCTCCGAGGCCACGGGCTGGACGCGCTGCGGGGCGGCCAAGTACCCAGAAGTTTAGGATTAGTTACAGGAATGGTCATGTGTGTACCTTATCACATGGTGTGGAATGGTCCCTATTATCACTGGATGAAGAGGAGGGGCCCCTCTTCGCTCGGCAGCTGCCGGTGTCGTTCGGTCTGCGAGAGGAGGCTTCGGGTTTCGGAAGGCCTTCCCTGGGGAAGTTTCAGCCCCGAACAACGGCTTTCCCTCACGTCTCTTGAGCGTTGGCTGTACTTAGGGGCCAGCCTGGAGCGCGAACCTGCCCGGGCGTGACGAGGACGAAGAGTAAAGAAAATCAGGCCAACGTGTGGAGGGACAGGGGCCCCGGCCCCCTTCGACCAAGGGCCCCGAGTGACTGGCGCCTGGGCTTTAACCCCTCAGTCACGGGCACAGGCTATCTCCTCCCTCCACGTCCCTGTCGGGCAGACGGCAGGCTCTCCACGTTACTTCTCAGCCCCCTTGCACGCCCTCTTTCGTGCCAAGCGAGGCCAGTTAGGCCTCACAGTCTTCCCATCTGGCCTCCCAGGTTAGCGGGTTTCATTTTGGGAGATTTGTAACATACAGGACCCCCCCAGCAGTTTCACATTTGGAGAGGTTTCAGTGAGTGTAATGTAGCTTGAGCCTGTTTATCCCCCATTACTCAACCCTCACACCCCTCCTGTATTCTATTTGTCTTGTCTAATGATAGCTTTCCTGCTATTTTATTGCCATCATTTTTAGATTGTAGATATTTGGGAGAACGTGAGATGTTTGTCCGTGATCTGGCTTATTTTTTTTCTCTAAATAGGAATTTTTTTCTTTGTGACAGGCTCACTGTGTAGCCGGCCTCAAACTCAAGTAGATTGTCCTGCCTCAGCCTCCCAAGTGCTGGTATTGTAGACATGCATGACTCTCTAAGTAACATTCTTAATGGAACCCAGTGCACTCAGTTATGCTGCTTTCCTGCCGAAACAGTAGAATTGAGTCATTGGAACAGGAACTATAAGACCTTTTTTAAAATCTAAAAACATGACTTTTTTTACTTGAGGTAGTGTATTGCTCTTTACATTTTATTTTTAAAACCTGTAGAGATTACCACAGTAAGGATTTTTGGTTTGGTTTTTGAGACAGGGTCTTTCTCTGTAATTCAAGCTGGCCTTCAACTCCCTTTAGCCCAGACAAGCCTCAAACTCAGTGATCCTCCTGCCTCAGCCTCCCGAGTGCTGGGATTACAGGTGTGTGCCACCATGACAAGCTCATGGTGAGGATTTTTAAGCGTCTGGTTCAGTAGCATTAGCTACCGTCATATTGTTCTCACCAGAACTCTTCATCTTGCAGTTGAACGTTTGTACCCGTAAGGTCACCGGCTGTGCCCTCCTCGTGCTGCCAGCACTCTGCCCTTAGTTGGTGCCTGGCTGGCCCAACTTCCTAAAGTCCCCAGGGCTCCACACACAGTCACTGCCTTTGTAGTGCTTCATTGAGCTCCCGGGGATTAGTACAGCCCACTTCTGGGCGTCTGAGAGCCCCACAGGCATGGCCTTGGGGGTCTGTGTCTGTCCCTGCCCCTTCTCCCCTGCTCCGTGGCCTCTGCAAGCTGAGCAGCTTTTCTGTGCCGCGCCTTCCACCATGATGTTTGTGCCAGCCCACCATGGACCAAATCCTCTGAGCCCAGTCACAGAAACCCCTCCTCCCCTCTGAGTTGTGGGCAGTGTGTCCAGTAATGGGAAAGCTGACTAATTCCCCCAGTGGTACTGCACCCATGCATGCAGTGCTGAGCCGTTGCACTGTGCTGCGTTACTAGTCCTTTTGATCTTATTTTCTTAAAATCTTGAGATGGTCTTCCTAAGTTGCCCAGGCTGGATTTGAACTTTGGATCCTCCTGCTTCAGCCTCCCAGAGTGCTGGGAGTGTAACCCCAGGGTTTCCTTTGAGATTTCTGAGCCACACTGCAGTAGCGGTGCATGCACCTCGTTTCTCTCCATTCTGGCTAACGCTTGCTGTTGTGCTTTTGTGTTTTTGTGTTCATCATGGCTCCCTAGATGGTGTGAAAGCTCGCTGTGGTTTTGATTTGCTTTGATAAGCAGTGTCACATTTTTTTATGTGCTTGTTGATACTTGATATATCTTTTTTGGAAAAAAGTGGATTCAGATTTCTTGCCCAGGTAGCATGAAGTTCCTGTTGAGTTGTAAGCCTTTGTTGAGTGCTCTGGATGTCAGCCTCCTGGGACGTGTAACTGTGTGTCCTCTCTCCATCCCACGGGTGTCCTTCGTTCTGGTGCCAGAGTCCTGATTTTGGTGCAGTTGCATTTATTTTTACCTTTGTCACCTATGCTTGATGCTATTTATTGCCCCCTTGAGAGGAAATGAGGTACCATGCACATAATGTGAAGTCACCCTTTAAAGTGCACCATTCAGAGGTTTTCATTGTAGTCAGGAAGTTGTGTAACCATGGCCACAAGTGAGTTACAGAATGTTTTTGGTGCCCTAGAGAGAAACTTCAGCCCTGAACTTGTTGCTCTTTTATTTCAGAGCGGTTTTGTTAGGGGCTCTGCCTTGCTGATGCCAGGTGAAATGCAGGTCGTGTTTCAAGAGGATATCTTACTGCTTGGGTAATTTCTGGGAAATGTTTTTTCAAAAAAGGAATGGAATATGGTAAATTTATGTTCTTTTTCCTCCAGCTTTGTTGAGATATGATTGGCAAATGATACTTTTAAGGTGTGCAGTGAGACGCTTTGATAGTCCTGTCCACTGGGTTTCTGGAAGGCTTTCAAGTAGTTGAACATGCGTACCCACTTCAGAGACACTGGTATCTGAAAGATTTTAGAGTACTTTGATAACACACTTGTGTTGTTTGTCATTCTTTTTTTTGTTTTTTTTGTACTGGGGATCGAACTCAGGACCTTGCACTTGCCAGGCAGGTGACAGAACCATTGAGCTAAAGCCCCAGCCCTCTTGTTTGTGATTCTAATTTTGTTGTTCTATTTTAATTCTACATTTAATCTAGCCTGATAAAAAATTATACGAAGCCCTTATTCACTCATGAAATGAAAAACAAATATGGCCAAGAACCCGAACTTGTTTAACCGTGTATCCCTGAGTCTGGAGGGTGAAATGCTTGGTGGAAAGCACAGTTCCTGACTGAGGACAGAGGCCTCTTCCATACATAACGAGCATTTCAGTGGCTGCTGGGTCGATGAAGCTCTGTGGTGGCTGCAGGGTCTCTGTCCGAGTGGGGAATCAGTAATAGAGCAAGCCTTGTGGCTCCATCCCCTCACTGGAGTCACGGAAGCTGGTGCCAGGCATATCGTGTCCCAGTCTGTGTCCTGTGAGCCAGGACTTTGCTGACCACAACTCCGGATATCCCTGCGCTGGCTCCGTCCCTGTCTGGTGGAGTGTGATGCTCCATGTGTTTCTCCAAAGCATTCATACATCCGTTGTTTTGTTTACTTCTCATAGCTGGTGGTGTTTAGGGGGCACATGTTAGCCTGTCATGCAGATATGGCCTCTGCTCTCTGTTGGACCAAGTTTCCATTGTAAAAGAAAAATCAAGAAAGATAGCACAGTAGAAGAAAATCTCATTCATTCCCTGAGTTTGTTACTTGTGTTCCCAAAAGCTCTTTTCAGTTTAAGATCTTGTTGCTAGGATGATGAACATTGATTTGTGAATGTATCTTTTATTTATCTCTTTAGTTTTGTTTCCAATACCAGGGATAGAATGCAGGATCTTGTGCTTGTGAGGCAGGTACAGTGCCACTGAGCTAAATCCCTGGCTTCTTTAGTTTTGTTTATAAAAAAACCATGCAAGTTCCAGCACCAGCAGATGGATTCTATGGATTTGTAGGATTATTAGGTTTATTTAGATTTGAAGTACCCCAGGCTAAGCAGTCTCTGCTAATGACTTGCTCTCTTGTGCCGCTGTTTACCTTTAGATGCTGTTTGATCTCATGTGAGCTGTTGGCCCAAGATGGAAAACTTTATCCTGTATGAGGAGATCGGCAGAGGAAGCAAGACTGTTGTCTATAAAGGGCGACGGAAGGGGACGATCAACTTCGTGGCCATTCTTTGTACCGAGAAATGCAAGAGGCCTGAGATTACCAACTGGGTGAGTCAAGTGCCTCTCCTTCCACGGGGACAGACAGCTGCGACAGGAGAGGGGCAGAGGTGTCAGGATCGAAGCTGCCCTTCTCTGTAAACCTGGTCCTGATGGAATCGCTGGCCACTGCCTCAGCAGAGGAGCCTTGAGCCCCCATGGAGAGGGTGTTGCCCTGGGAAGGTGATATGGGAGCAGGCACCAGGTCCCAGCAAAGTGAAGCATCCATCGTGTGCTGGAACCAATGTGGCGAGCGTGTCCAGGGCGGTCGTCCAAGGGTCCTTCAGCCCCGGGCACACCAGAGTGGAGAATCCAGACAGAAAGTAGTAGGACCCACCTTAGGCCTGAGGGTTTACTGTGATCATCCACACAGAGATCTGTGACACAGCCGGTCATCCCAGAGCTCTGGGAAGCTGGGGAGAAGGGAGGCAACTTAATGATTCAGTGAGACCCTGTTTCAAGATAAAAAGTAGAACAAGGGCTGAGGCTGTAGCTCAGTGCAGAGGCCCTGGGTTCAATCTCTGGTACTACCTCAGGAAATGAGACTGTGACGAGCCAATCTTTGGTTCTGCAGGGTCCACTTGTCACCTTGTTTCTGGTCCCTGAAGGATCAGCCCTTTCCCTCCTGTCACATCTCCTAGTCTGAGCCGCAGTTCCCTCCCTGGTGACTCTAGGACACATGCTCCTGGGCTTACTGTCCAGTCCCAGAAGCCCCCATGCTGGGTCCCTGGGGCCTCAGGGCTAGGGCTTTGCACCTGCTGCCTGGGACCTCTGCCTCCCCCATCTTATCGTGCCTGGGAGGTGACCTGTGGTATCACGAGGGGCCAGCAGTGAGCCTGAGGGTGACACTTGCTGCTCTGAACACAGCCTCCCTGTGCTCACTCCAGTACCAGTGTGTGTCACCTCGTGCTGCGTTTCTGCCTGTGTCTGGCTCTGGGTTGAGGTGTAACTCAGTGTGAAGACCCTGAGTTCATTAATAGGCCAGAAAACCAGGGCTTTTTGTACCAAATACCTTTAGGGTAAGCTAGGCTATGATGTTTGGTGGGTTAGGTGTTTTTAAATACTATTTTCTCTTGAGCTGGGTGTGGTGGCGCATGCCTGTAATCCCAGCTCTTGGGAGGCTGAGGCAGGAGGATTGCAGCGAGTTCAAGGCCAGCCTTGGCTACATAGTGAGTTCAGGGCCAGCCTGAACTACAAAGGGAAACCCTGCCTCAAAAAGCCAAAAACCAAAAACCAAAACAAACAAAAGAAGAGATTATTTTCTTTTGAGACAGTGTCTTGCTACGTTAGTAGCAGCTCCATGTTTGTTTTATATTTTCACCTTGTCATGGATCTTTTGAGTGTAACTAGTTGTAAGTCAAGAACACCTGTACTTTCACTACCAGCAGCAGCTACTTCTGTGTAAATCTTCTGGTTATTTCCTAGAAATTATTGTTCTGCAGCTTGTATTTATAAAATGTGTGTTCTCCCTTCTGCAGTGCTGGGAATTGAATCCAGGGCCTCGTGCATGTTGAGCAGGTTCTGTGCCGTAAAGCGGCACTTCCAGCCCAAACACGCACTGAAAGATTGTATGTTAGCATTTTCCCATGTGATCAGCCCTCCTAACCATTATTTCTAATACCTGTAAATACGTTTCTTTATCCATTTCCCAGTTACATATTAGTGTTTACTTAGGTGCAAGGGTTAAAGAAAAAAGATGCGTTCTTTTTGAGAGTGCATGCTGTTTTTTTAAGAATATTATCATTTTAATTAAGTTATTGACTTAGATTTTTAATCCAACATGGACAAAGCCTAAATGCTGTGTTTCTGCAGGTCCGCCTCACCCATGAAATTAAACACAAGAATATTGTAACTTTCCATGAGTGGTACGAGACCAGCAACCACCTCTGGCTGGTCGTGGAACTCTGCACAGGTGAGCCTACGTAGGAAGCTGTATGGGAAGATACAGGGAAGCAATGGCAAGTCTTGGCTGGTGTGCTGCAATGGGCGCATAGCCCTTGGTCAGCCCCCACAGTCGAGTGTCAGATAGCCGCTGTTATTCTATACTGAAACCTCAGTGTTCGGGTTTAATTGCAGTGTTGGCATTTTACAATAAATAAGTGATTTTTGGGTTGTAGTTTGGGTACTCGGTCTCTAAAAGGTTTGCTATCACTGATAAAGGGTGTAAACCTTCTTTTTAAATCTTCTATTACAACGGGAAATAATATCGATACTATTTACTATTGAAAATCTTGCTTGATAGGTATATAGGTATTGGGGAAAGGTAAAATAAAATTGGGGAATGGTAAAATAGATGGAAGGATTATATGAAATTCAATTTGGAGTGGACTTTTTTTTGACAATTATTTAAGACCTTTATTAACAGGTGCTTGCAGTTTGTTGACTTTTTTGAAAAAATCAAGTTGTAAACTTTTATTACAAATTAAAAATGAAGTTCTTAAAAATCTCAACTTGACCAGATATGAAACAATTTAAAACCTTTAAAGGTGTATTGAGAAAAACCAGGCTTTTTTAAAAATCACGTTTGTCATTACCAAAAAGAGACGTCTTTAGGTAAAAATAATAAAAACCCCATGCTGCATAGATAATGCAGATAGTTCTAGTTATCTGGTCAATGGGCAAAAAGCAAGCACTTAAGGTCTTCAGTTCCCAGTCTTTTGTTCATTTCTTATTGCTGGAATTTCATATTCGTTTCTTCTTGCTGGATGACTAAACCGGATGATGGCAGAGATGTGAAGCCGGTATTTACTCAGCCCCGCCCTGCTCAGCCTCGGAGCACGAATTCTCAGGTGGTGGCTTGGCTGCTTTAGTCTCTTTGCCATCTTGTGGTTTAGGGTTCTCTGGGCGTCTGCGTCGGTTTCCTTATCCTCTTCATTGCCGTCCTCTCTAGGCTGTCTTTGGCGAGGAGGGCCCCTGCGGAATCGCGGTCTGTAACCTCGATACAGACTCTGTCTCACTTGTCTGCCTCGCTCTCCTGCACCCTGGTTGTCAGCACCCTCCATCACTTCTCCCTCACAGGGGGTTGGAATACTGTGGTCGACACCCGTAGGGTCTCCGATGTAGTAAGCTGGGAACCTTCGCCTGCCTAGGGCGGGCGTTGTTGGGCCTGGCCTTCGGGAGCACTCTCCGATCCCCCATTCTTTTCCCCACGCTCACTACTCTGGTAATTCTGCTGGTCATTGCGTGGAGGACCCTGCGACGTGGATAGCGTCTGTAATGGTGACGGTCTGCTGCATATTTACTGCCTTGAACTGGAACTCCACCGGGGCCTGTAACATTTGCTGCCTCCGCACCCTTTTCTCCTTCAACAACATCAAACTCCACAGTCTCTCCATGTCCTACACTGCGAAGGGACTTCCTGGGGTTATTCTTCTTTATGGCAGTCTGGTGTACAAATACATCTTCCTTGGTGTCATTCCTGTTGATGAAACCATATCCGTTTCTTACATTGAACCATTTTACTGTTCCCAAAACCTTCGTTGCGATGACCTTCTTGTCCCAGTGGTGCCGGGCTTGGGGCTTGGTGTCGGCAGCGCTGAGGGGGCGGCAGGCGGCTGCTGGGTCTCTGCCTCCATGCTCATGGTTGCGGTGATGGCAGCTGCGGCTCCTCCCGGGGGGTGATGGTAACTAGGCCTGCGGCGGTGGGGCTGCTCAGGGCTCTGTGGGGTCTGCTGTCCGCTCCCGCTACCGATCGAACTTGGAGTGGACTTTAGTATGTTACTAAAACACCTACATAACAATTTAGGACTATTTTAGTGTGATTAATTTGTCTTACAAGTTTTTCAGTAAATAAAAAAGGTTAACTAGCTGTTATTTAGCTAATAAATTTATAAAATAATCTTTGTTTCTATGTAAAGGATATGTGCACTTTATAAAAGATTTGCAATTTTTTTTTGGTCTGGGGGATTGAACTCCTGACCTTGTGCTTGTGAGGCAGGCGGCCGCACCACTGAGCTAAATCCCCAGCTATAAAAGATTAATATGGAAAAGGACAAAGATGAACCAACCAACATCACACCTCGCAGTAATCAGAGTCCCTGGTCACAGCTGTAGCTTCATGCGGTTTTCTGGGACTGTGTACAGGGGGACAGTGTCTAAATTCCTGTATAATATCTGGGCTCTCAGTCTCACCTCTTAAAACCTTAACAGAGAAAATAAATGTAATGAGTATCACAATTAGTTTATTCTAGTTATATATCGAGTAATAATGAAAGATCACTAACTTTTCGTGTAGTGTCTTTACTTCACCTGTTGGCATTTAAAATTATAAAACCACCGGGCATGGTGGTGCATGCCTGTAATCCCAGCACTCAGGAGGCTGAGGCAGGAGAATCGCTGTGAGTTCGAGACCAGCCTGGGCTACATAGTAAGTTCCAGGTCACTCTGAACTACATAGTGAGACCCTGTCTCAAAAGCCAAAAAAAAAATTATAAAACCCAAGTTATAAGAGGTTGTTCATTTCTTGAGTCAGCGGCAGGGATCATGTTTGGCCCCCTTCACAGACCTGCAGAGTGGCCAGGGTCCCTGTGTGCCTTGCATGGCAGCTGTGACAGCTGTGATAGCCTGTGGCACGCTTGGTCGTGCCCATTTCGACGATTCCTCACCCACTGGAAGAAAGTGAACAAAACTAAATACTTTTTCCTTCCATCATCGCAGTTGTGATTGAACTTTCATGAGGCAGCTGTGCCTTTGGCTGTGGTATCATTGCGACCCTTTAAAGTTCTCCTGACCGACGTGGTAGTGTGGGCTGCCCATGGCCGTCTCCTCCTCGGGGTGCAGACAGGGCTGGATCATCTGCCTGTGCCGGAGCTGTCGCCTTTGCAAGGGATCTGCTCTGCGCGTGTCAGTGTGCCTGTGCTCACAGACTGAGGTGGAGGGCCCAACACAAATTTCCGCAGCCCTCTATGTCCTGAGGGATCAGGCAGTAATCCTCTCCTTCCTGCTCACCCATTCACCTCCCAGGTGCAGTGGCGCTGGCTGGCGTGGGTGTGGACCTGGCCTTCTGTGCCTGCACACGCACCTATCTATGCTCCGTGCCTGTGTCGGCTGGTGTTGCCCTCAGATACCCCGTGACCCATTTGGGCTCAGGTGTATGATTTTCATCAACTCTTCACAGGCGGTTCTCTAGAGACAGTGATTGCCCAAGATGAAAACCTCCCAGAAGATGTGGTGAGAGAGTTTGGAGTCGACCTGACCGCCGGCTTGCGCCATCTTCACAAGCTCGGTGTTCTCTTTTGTGACGTTTCTCCTGGGAAGGTAATCCACGAGGCTTAACGACTTATGTGAAAGGTGATACTGTGTGAGTGTGTGCATGTGTGTGTGTGTTAATGCCAGGTAAGTACTTTGCCACTGAACTTTATCCCCGGGCCTGTTTTTTTTTTTTTTTTTTTTTTTTTTTTTTTTTTTTTTTGTTTTTTTTTTTTTTTCAGTTTTTTTGAGACGGGCTCTCACTGTAGTTCAGACTGACCTGGAACTCACTGTGTAGCCCAGTCTGGTCTCGAACTCACGGTGATCCTCCTGCCTCAGCCTCCCAAGTGCTGGGATTAGAGGCGCGCGCTACCATGCCCGGCTGACCAGTTTTTTTTAATGGAAGGGAAAAGGTGGTGTTACACTGCACTGTGGCTACCCGCTGTGTGCCTTCAGGAAGTGAAGTCCCTCCTCCCTGCCTCTCAGCAGGTTGAGCGTCAGTTCTGAGGTGCATTGTCAGTGACGAACCTGGCAGTCAGCAGGACCCCGAGCTTGTGTATCAGTGCGCATTTGTGAGTCTTATTTTAGCTTGCAAATGGCACTCTTGGCTCTGTGTGTATGATTCCTGATGGAATGGATCAACAGTGTTTTGTAGAATTAACCACCATAACCCAATGTGCTTCTGCGTGTGGGTGGTTAAGCCCGCTCTTTGAGTTGTCATCAGTGCCTGCACATAGATGTGACCCTGGTGAGTTACTCCACCTCTCTCTGCCTTGGTGTCCTCCTCTGTGGTTTAAACATTCTCTGGGTTCACTCAACTTCTTGTTTGCTCTCAGTGGGGCCAATCTGTGGCCTTGTGGTGATGGGCCTGGTAGAGCGGAATGTGAACCTGGCTGAGGACTGACAATGGCGGCTTCATCTCAGGGCCAGGCTCCTGGTCCTCACTTTCCTGACTGAGCCAGTTTATGGCCTTGCTACTTCAGCTCTGTCCTACAGGCTGCAGTCTTCTTACAAAGTCCCATCTAGTTGCAATTTCCTTGTCTCTTTCTACCTTTTATTTTTTCTATCTCTCATTTCTTCTCTGTTAGTGTATGCCTATGAAATGGAAAGCTTGATTTTTAAATTTAAACTTTATTTTTGTAGGCCATCTGTACAGAAAGACACTGAAACCTAAAAAAGGCCTCCAGAAAACCTGGTGTGAGGAGTAGATGTCCTCACTTGAGTCATTCATGTGCTGGCCCTGTTTGCAGGAAGCAGCCTTGGGCTGTGTGCCAGCCAGCGTGTGGCTGTGGCCGTGCTCAGTGACTGGACTTATAGACACTGAAGTTCGAAGTTCATGGCTAGAACCTTCACATGTCAAGGCCAGCTCTTCTGAGTTTTGCAGCCGTGTTGCAGTATGCAAAGTGTGCCGACTTCACAGCTGTGGGAAAGCAGCCCGTGGCTGGCATTTGGTTCAAGAGTGGTTTGCCTGTAGCTGTAAAGTTAGTTGTTCAGTGGGGTTTGTCAACTGTTGAGACCCAGTGTGCTAGAATAATGTGGCCTGTGCTTTAGAACAAGTACCGACGGAGGTTGGGCCATGTTCCTGTTTCTGTCAGCACAGCCACTCCCTTGGTTGTGTGTGGCCAGTAGCTGATGGTGTGCTCAGCAGCACTGAGTGGTCAGGACAGAGACCTTTGGGTCAGCTGCCCAGGGCCTGTTACAAAAGCAGACTTGCTCTGCCAGCAGTGACTAGTGGTCTGGTCCCTGTCAAGTCTCAGAGTTTGCAGACATCCTTAGTGAGTACTTGTGACTGGGAGTTTGGGCTTTAAAAACAGCAGAGCCCCCTGACCTAGTACAGCTGCCCACAACCATTCTACTCCCTGGCAATTTTCAGTGACCAGTAGATGACTTCTCATGTATTGCCAGAGTTGGCACTTAACACGTGACTTAGCTCATCCTGAAGAGTTAAGTAGCATTTACCTCATTTTTATAGAATACATGGAGGGCCTGAGGATTCGGCAAGGTCCCTGTCCTCTCCAGGGCCAGGCAGTGAGCAGCCAGGACGCTCTGCTTGGGACCCAGCCATGGCCCACAGTGTTCTCCTCATGAACAAGTACCAGCTTGCAGACGGGTGTCAAGTCTGCTTTGGGATGTCACAGTGCAGATCCTTCAGTCCCCAGTCGTCCCTGAGAGCCGTTGGCTTCAGGAGTGTCCTGGCCCTGGGCTCCCTGTAGAAAGTGGTGTCATATTTGCATCCAGCCTGTCCTGTGTACTGTGAGCTCTCTGTGGCTTTGCAGGGCACCCAGCACAGCGCAGGTTCAGTGCTGTGTGTGAGTGGTTGTTACACCGTGTTGCTAGGGAATAATGAACAAGGAGTCGTGATCAGTACAGACAAATACTTCTTCAGACATGTCTGATCCTCAGTTGGCTGAATCTGTGGGCGCAGAACCTGAGGATGCAGTGGGCTGATGACTACACATTTTTCTCTCTCCTGAAACCAGAGGTTTCCCCTGTGCTCTCTGGGATTGGACAGTTGTTGATTCTGTTATTAAAATGTCATTTTCATTTGCTTCCTTCTGATAGAAGTTGTAAGCCAACCCTCTAGAGGCCTTTAACGGATTTGTAAGAGGACGTGGATGGATGTGTGAACTAAATTGAACTTGTCTCTGAAAACGTTTGTGTCTGAATCTTCACAGATTCTCTTGGAAGGGCCCGGGACATTGAAGTTCAGCAATTTTTGCTTGGCGAAGGTGGAAGGTGAGAATTTGGAAGAGTTCTTCACTTTGGTGGCAGAAGAGGAAGGAGGTGGTGACAGTGTGGAAAGCGTATGGAACATGAAAAAGAGAGTCCAAGGTGCGTGGACCCAGGAGCTCAAGGGCACCACTCTAGTTGTGGGCTGCCCATGTCCCAGGTGGGAGATGACTCTGGACTTCTGTTTGTCACCCTGGTATTGTATGGTGACCGGGAGGAGTCTGGGTGCAGGCGTGGCTTTGTGCTCGGCCTCACAGGATCCATGGGAGGCTCTCACCGTGGTGTTTGCTGAGTGAGTGAAGGGCGACAGCACTTCATGCAGTGAGCATTCTTACTGGGAGGTGGGGCAGGAAGAAGAGCCCTGGTTTTGGTGGGGTACCACATCTGCCTGGGTGCCTGCACGGTATCTCCCTTCTAGCTCTGTTTGTTTGTTTTTTTGAGAGAGGGTCTCACTATGTAGTTGAGATTGCCCTTTAACTCACTTATGTAGCCCAGGCTGGTCTCAAACTCACAGCGATCCTCCTGCCTCATCCTCTCAAGTGCTGGGATTACAGGCATGTGCACCACCACGCCCGTTCCCCCTTCTAGCTCTGAAACGTGTGGTTTCCACTTAAGGCTAAGCCTTGTGGGAAGTGTACGTGATGCACGCACACGTGCACTTACTTCCGCTCTTGCGGACTGTGTGGTGAGGTTGTGTCCCCAACAAAAGCCAGTGATGTTGAGAAGTGAGAGGAGGCACTGGCAGGTGGCAGTGTGTCGCATTCTTGCCCCATGCTGTAAAGATACCCTCTTTGTACCTGGTCCCTAAGGGGCGGCAAGAACTGGGGCCCGGGGCTCGCTCTTGGTGCACTTGGAGTTTGAGTCATAGATAGATCTTTGATGTTAAGCCTGTGGGATTTCAGGGTTGTTACTGGTGCTTAACTTGGCCCATTTAATTATAGTAGTTTAATAAGGGCTCTTTTGACTGTTTTAATTGTTAATTGAATTTACATTTATAAATACATATGCATACCTGAATGTGCCACACTCTTCACCAAAGTGGATTTGCAAAATCTGCATTCATATGTGTGTTGTCCTCTGTACGATCCAGTCTTCGGATTAGAAAACATTGACACATGTGAAATGCAGGTGTCTTGGTTCCTTTTCCTTTGCTGAAATGAAATACCTGACACCCACAAATTAAAGGGGGAGAGGGTCAGTGCCGTTCACAGTTTGTAGGGATTTCGGTGCAGAGTGGCTGGGGTGACATAGCCAAGGGGCACTGCAGAGGAGAGACAGCCCATGGCAGGGCGCACAGGAGGCAGGAAGCAGTGAGCCTGCGGGACTTCTACCCTTCCAGGCTAAAAGCCTGTTGATTGGATGGTACACCCACACCCAGGATGGGACTTCTTGTTATGCACACCCAGCACTGGGCTAAACTAATCAGTGGGCCTAATCTGGTACCACACACTCTTCTTTTTCTTTTTGGGGGGTACCAGGGATTGAATTGGGGACCTTTCGCTTGTGAGGCAGGTGGTGGAACCACTGATTTAAATCCCCACCCCAGTACCACACACTCTTAATCCCAGTGTCGTCTACCCTAGATCCAGCCACCTCCGAAAAGCCCCATCAAGGAGTGCATGAAGCTGTGGGAGGAGTCTCAGTGTAAGCTGTAATAGCCTGTGAAGTTTTAGTCGTGTATGTTTCCCGCCTGTCTTTGTTCATCTTCGCAGGTCTGTCTCAGTAGGTTGGTGGGGTATAGTACGGATGCCTAACAGCTTTTCTTTGCACTTTGATTTTAGGGTCCCCCATATACACGGCACCCGAAATCGTGAGGGGCGCTGACTTCTCTGTTACCACTGACCTCTGGTCGTTGGGCTGTCTGCTCTATGAAATGTTTTCAGGTGATTACTTTCTGTTTCAGTGTAGAATTAGAGCTATTTGAAACAAAGAAATAATGTCAAAAAAAGTTATGCCTGTAGTTTGCAAATATTTAACCTCTAAGATGTCAAAAATTTAGTTTTATTAAATTTTTGTATATACCAATTTTGGCTAATTTACTTGATGTCAGGATATGTGCAGGTTCTCAAGAGCTTTTTGGCAATAGGTAATTTTTCAGGATATTCATCTGAAAGTTTGAAATGTACCTAATTATTAAAAACTGGGCTGATAATAGAAATTCTTTAAAAGGTGCATCACGACTGAATCATTTGGATGTGTGGAGTAGCCCACGAAGCCTAGGATCATGGTAGTGATCGTGTGTCAGAAGTGAGTTTGTGTGTCAGGTAGATAATAAATTCTGAACTTGAGAAATATAAAAAAATAGACAGTATGCCTAGTGTGTATGCTAGGAATTCAGTAATTAATGACTGCCTTTTCTTGTTAATTGTGTAATTCTGAAACATCTGTAACTAAGTTCAGAAATATTGGTGATGGCACATTGTGTAATTTTGCAAGTTACTGTGATTTCAGGAAAACCTCCATTCTTCTCAGAAAGTATTTCGGAATTAGTTGAAAAGATTTTATATGAAGACCCTCTGCCGCCTGTTCCAAAAGGTGATATTGCTTATGATAAATTCAGTTAATTTACATCCTACCCTGATTTATGTCTTACTGTACTTGACTCGAAGCCTGTTTTAATGATTCATAACCTCTAAAAGTTCTATTTTATGTTTAGTCCAAAATGATAGTTTTTTGTCATTTCTTTTGATATTGAAATTGAAAGCAAAGTACTAATGTTTTCTTTCATTTAAAAACATGAATTAGTTTGTGCTTCTGAATCACCAGAAGCCTGGATTAGAGATTTAAAAAATCAAGCCCGTATAGTTTATGTTTCAAATTTGCCATTTGCTTAATTTGTGTTCCTGCTGTGTGCGGCACAAGTGTGGTATCCTGGTGCTCTTCTTGGTGCATCAGGCTGCCCGGCACCTTTTAAACTAGACACAGCTGTCTTGTTTTGAAGGTTATTAACTTTAATCACATAAATTATGGTTGACATAATAATCTACCATTAACACTAATTTTAAAGAAAAGAAAAATGGCACGAATGTGGTTAACATGTTGCTGTACATTGTTGGGGAAGTTAAGACCCCTAAATTTTACAAAAATTTATGCTGCATTTATTTTTTAATTTTATTTTTTGATCTTTGGTACAGGGACTTGAACTCAGGTCCTCACACTTGGCAGGCAGGTGCTGTACCTCTGAGCTACATCCCTACCGCTGTGCTATGTTTAACAGAAAAATTTTTAGAAGTAATGAGTGGAAGAGACGTGCCAGAATATTTTCAGTGTTGTTTCAATTACCCATGGTGAAGAAAAACTGGATATTTTGAAAGTAGTATCTTTCTTAAACAAAGCTAAATCACTTGCTTTCTGTACTGTATTTTTTTCTGCTGTAAGTTGAAATCTTTCATGTAGGGAGGAGAAATTTGAAAATGAAGGTGCGAAGGGCCTGGTGCCCTTTGACTGGTGGCCCAGGCTAATCATTTCCTGGGGATTTTCCTTGAACTGGCTGCAGTGCCCCTGGTGCCATCTGTGCCGCGTGGCTGCCCAGGGTCCTTGCTGCTGTCTCAGGCCCCGTCTTCACGGCCTCTTCACTGCAGTCGGATGAACAGGCCATGCTGCATTTCCATCTGGCTTAAAAAGACAACTGTCGTGAGAACGATGGAATTTGTAGTTCTGTTTTTTTTTTTAAGGTACTGGGGATCCAACTCAGGACCTTGGGCGTATGAGGCAGGTGGTGGCACCACTGAGCTAAATCCCCTGCCCTGGAATTAGTAGTTTTGTGAAGTTGCAGTGTTCATTGTTTCCCTTAAGAAGTCTTCAGAGTAAAAGGGAGATTACATGTATTCTTGTCATGGGGTGGTATAAAAGCAGAGTTTGGCTGGGCATGGGGGTGCACAGCACTGACCTCAGCACACTGGGAGGTGGAGGAAGGAAGGGCACAAGCTCAAGCTTGCCTTGGGCAACCTAGGTAGACCCTGTAAAAAAAATAAAAAAAATAAAATAACTCAGGCTGGGGCTGGGGATTTAGCTCAGTGGTGCCGCCACCTGCCTTGCAAGTGTAAGGTCCTGAGTTGCATCCCAGGTTAAAAAAAAAAAAAGCAGAGGGCCTGGGGATGTCGCTCCATGCAAAGGCCCTGTGTTCAGTTCCCAGGACCACAAAAAAGGACAGGGAGAACTTGGATTACCCAGAGAACAGGTGTAACTAACTGCTGTCTGTGACCGGGGCAAGTGGTAAACCTTATTGAGCTTGTGCTTGGTTCAGTCTGGGATTTTGGGCCCCAGTTTTCCGATTGCCCTGGGGAGACCCACCCATTGTGTCTCTGCAGAGCCTCACAGAGGAGGAGTGTGACTGTGCTGCTACAGCTTTTGTGCCTAACAGGTGATTGATTGCCTTTAGGATGTTAAATTGATGTTTTTTTCCTCTTACAATCCATTTACTTACAGATTCCTCACTTCCTAAAGCCTCTTCAGATTTTATTAGTTTGCTTGATGGCTTACTTCAAAAAGATCCTCAGAAAAGGTATGGGCAGTCTTTTGATGCAAACGCACACTAAAATCTTTTCCCTTCACATACTGTAAAAATAGTGCTGTTCTAATGTGCAGATAGCTGTCCAAGTTACTTTTTTTATAAAGAAGTCTGACTTTGGATTAAGAATTCATGCTTTTCATGGTTTTTAATCAGGCATGGCCTTTAAAAGTTTGTTTTTATATGTTAAGTGGCTGCTGCGGGCTGGGGTGTGGCTCAGTGACAGAGCCCTGCCCTGTTATTTGAGAGGCCCTGGGTTCGATCCCCAGTACCTGAGAAAAAGTTGCCTAGTTAGGTTGCATGTATTCTTGTGAATCTCAAATCCAAGAAGTGGATTTCTTTGGTTAATTGTTTCAGACCATTGAATTTAGAAATTGCACTGTCAAGATGGAGGTGAGGGAGGTTTAGACAGGTATGTGAGGGTCTCGTGCTCAGGGTGTAGAATGGAGAATAAATTTAGGGTACAACATACTCCATTCTTGTGTATTACACATATGAAGAAAACAGTGTGGAAGGAGAAGCTGACTCATGTACAGCCGTAAGGCAGACTTTTCTCTGCTTACATTGAGAGAGTTAGGGTTGGTGTTATCTAGGTGGATGATCTAAGGTAGGTAGGATGTAAATACAGATACAACTCACAGCCGGCCCTCTGTTTTCTCCGGTTCTGCATCTGTGGATTCCACCAATTGCAGATTGAAAATATACAAAAACTTGAGTGTGTATCAATTCCTGCTGTCACTGCCTAAACAGTGCAGTGTAACAGCTAGCTGTATGTGCAGCGCCTCTGTTATATTGGGTATTATAAGGAATGTAGAGATGACCGAAGTCCATGAGAGGATGTTTGTAGGTTATACCTGTGATCCCAGCACTCTGGGAGGCTGAGGCAGGAGGATCGCAAGTTCAGGCCCAGTCTGGGCAACTCAGCAATTCAGCAAGACCCTGTCTCACCATAAAAAAGAAAGCATTGGAAACGTGTAGCTCAGTGCAAAGGTCTGAGCCCAGTATCTAGTACAGCAAAAACAAGCAAACAGAAGCCTGTGTGTGGCACTTCATGTAAGGGCACGTGCATCTTTGGGTTTGGTCTCTGTCCCCTGAGGTGCAGAGGGAAGACTGATTAGCATGGAGCAGTCTCTGGGCCCCGTGCACAGCCTCGTGTTAAATAGTTGTTTGCTTCCAACGCATTCCTTTGTAACCGACGGGTACATTATGTATATCCCCGTGTTAGTAAACCTGTCTGCGTAATCATTTTAAGTGGCTGCAGAATGTACATGCAATAGTCTAAGAAAAACCAGGCTTCACAGGGTCTCTGGGTTTACAGTAGTACACACACTGCTACGTTAAGTATGTTGTATGGGTTTTTTCTCTGGCTTCACGTGGGCAGCAATCTTTGTGTGAATTTCTCAAAGTGGGACTGCCGGTTGAAGGCTCAGAGCACCACAGCTGGATGTGTCGGGAGAGCACGAACACAGACATACTTTACCGTATCCAGGGATGTGGCCCAATTCCTAGCACCGCACCTGCCACCCTCGCCTCCAGCAGGCTTGTGTGATCTTTTATATATCTGCCATTCTGATGGCTGAAAAATAAGTTTTATGCTATTGGCCATTTTATTTCTCTTTCAGTGAATTATTTTCTCCCTTTTGTTTTTGTAGTACAGGGGATCAAGCCATGGGCCTTTACCCTGGCCCTTTTTATTACGAAGCAGGGTCTTGTAAACCTGCCTCAGCCTCCCAGAGTTCTGGATTACAGGTGTGCTCCACCACACCTGGCTTCCTTCAGTGAAATACATCCCTTTGTGTAAAAGGGATATCATATGTTCTTTTTCTTTAATGTTTATGTTTTACTTTAGATAAGCAATTTCATTTCAACACAGATATTTTGAATAATTAAACACATTTTTTTCTGTAAATGTCAGGTAGGTGTATGTTTCCCTAGCCTTGTGAGTATCCGTGGGGCACAGTCCATTAGTAGTAAGCTTTGCTTCCCTGAAGGTGAGTCTCTTGTGAGATACGGCTGAGTCAGTGGTGGGAGTGACCCAAGGCGGGCCTGGGCTGTACGGTCTCAGAGCTGCAGTTCTGGTCCGATTCCAAATGAAGTGCCAAGGCTGAAAGTGTCACATAGCCAGGTCGCTGCAATGAAAATGATGGAGCAGTGGGCTGATAGATAGATAATAGGTGACATATTTACATTAAAAAAATTCCGATTGTTTATGGATACCCTGCACAAACTACTTGGAAACCTGTACAGTTTTCATCAGACTCACTGTAATACGAGACCTGAGACTCCTAATTCTTAGTTTTGTTCTGTGCCATTGAAGGCTTCTGCTTTCTTCATGATTTTGCTGTCTAAGAGAAGTCTGTTGCATGCTAAGAGTAAAATGGGAAGCACTTTCAAAGGTCCATTTGGATGGTGATGTTGTAAAATTACATTATAAAATCTAAACCATAAAATCTGTGGCGGTTTGTGCCTGGGACATGTCCTGGAGATCTCGGTGAATCGGGAGGTCGGAGTTCTGCCCCTCTGTTTCCATGAAGGTTGACCTGGAGCGGCGTGCTGCAGCACCCATTCTGGAAGGAAGCTCTTTCGAGGGAAGCCAAGGAGCCCAGCGTGGAGGATTCCCCTGTCAGGTGTGCCAGCTGTCTTATGCCTGGGTGCAGTTCTCTCCCTCTTGTGCCTGTTTACTTCTAATAGTGCAGCACCACTGGTGTGAATTTCTGGGCTTTTATGGTCAGTAATCTGGCATTGGTTTAGTTAAAGTTTAGCGAGTTCAGTGGTGGTTCTGCTCATCTGAGCAGTTGTCCTTTCTAGCCAGGGACCTGGTCTGCCGGTCCTTCGTCCTCTTCTTTAGTAACCCTGCTTCCTGCCCTCTGAGTGCCTGCGCCCTCGCCCTGTTACCAGGGAGGTGGCCGCGTGACTCATGCTGGCTAATGGAACCTGGACAGGGACGTAGGTTTCTTCTCTATAGAAACGCTGTGAGCCAGTGTGTTGTTTGCCACATATTTCCTTCCTGATGTTGTCATTGGGAAGAAAAATGTGACATGAGTTGCTGTTGGCCTGGGTCTTGAGGGACTGGTGACCGGGCTTTCCTGCCCAGCTGCACTGTGGCCAACGTAGGAGATTCTAAGCCAGCAGGGTTCGGTGGTTGGGTGTCACCCTTGACTCACTTAGCCTGTCCTGCACAGCATTCTTCAGCGTTAATATGAAATCATCATAGCCCAGGACACTGAGCAAGGTAAATGTTGCGTAGGAATGGGTGGAGGGAGAGAGGGAGCGAGAAGAGCAGAGCCACCATGGGGGGCTGCCTCATGTTCTTGGGGTCACAGCTGTCAGGACAGAGAACGGGCCTCCTCCTGTTAGTGGTTCAGGCACTGTGCATTAGCTGCTGCTGTGCCCAGCTGGCTGTCGCAGGTTACCTGGAGGCTGGCAGCAAATGCAGGATCTCTGGCTGCTCTGCCTCGGAACAGAAACCAGGGCTTTCCTTGGCTTGTTCCACTGGTGCGTGTTGCTGGGAGGCCAGGCCAGGCCAGCCGGAATGAGCTGCCAGGGAGCTCCCCATGGGTGAGCTGGAGTGGCGCCTGACTCTGGGCGACTTCCTCTAGCATTTCTTTTCCAGGGAAAGGGCTCACAAACTCTCTGTAGTTCACTGTGTATGAAAAGTGCTTGGCTTGAAACTAAAGAAGAATGCTACTTTTCTAACTATGGTTTTGTATAAGTGTCATGTATAATTTACTTACCTTTATCAAACTCTTGTTACATGAACAAAACCAGAGAAATCTCCAAAGTGAGTCTGGGTGTTCTGGTTCTCTCCTGTTTAGCAGCAGAAGCGCGATGGAAAGTTCTGGGCCCCAGGATCCCAAGGAGCCCTTGCAGCACCCTCTGAGTAGATGTGCCGGCCACATTCTCCAGCTTGGTGAGCACACACAGGTTGTGCCAGGGGCTTGGCCGGGGCCTGACTTCAGGGTCAGCTTCCTTCTTGAATGTGTCTGTGTGTGTTTTGCTCTGCTCATCATAACCGTGTCTCTTTATGGATGAAACATTGCTTTCCTGCTTCAGAAAATCCAGCCGAGTTACGGCCCAAGAGCACTGCTGGGGGTCAGCCGAATGAGTCTCTGTTTCTCCTCAGGTACGTGTGGCAAGATCCCAAAACGGGGAGGGAAGTGATGGAGATGAGAGGAAAATCTTTTTAAACCATCTGCTGTCCCAGGGGCAAAGCCGTTACACAGAGGAGGAGGACAGGGACATCAGTGCCACCTCACAAACTCGCTCTCCGTTTTCAAAATTATAGCTGTGTGCTGGCCAGCAGACTCTAGATTCTGCTGTGCATTTAAAAGATTACTTATTTCCCCCTATTTTTAAGGGTTGAGTCCTTTTCATTTTATACTTTAACTTCAAATAAAAATGAATTGAAAATTTTAGGAGTCCAGCCTCTGTTTTTTTTTTTGGTACCGGGGATCGAACTCGGGTCCTTGCACTTGCAAGGCAGGTGGCGGAACCACTGACCTAAATCCCCAGTCCTTCAGCCTCTTTGTTTGGATAGATTTGCAGGAGGAACACGTGTGTCCACTCCCTCCCTCCCTGTTTGCTAAAGCTGGGACCCAGTTGAGGAACTTGGGCCTGCTGGGCATTGGTTGACCAGTGAGCTGTGTCTCCAACCCCTGTGATTTTCTTTGAATACATTTTAAATGTGAGGCTTAAACAATGTTTATAATCATGAAAAGAATGAAAAAAAGTTAGGATAGTGTATTAAAGTGACTAGGATAAACATATGAAAAGTAATACATAAACACTAAATAGAGTTTTCAGAAAGCCCTTGGGTCGGGGTGTAGCTCTGTGGTAGAGCACTTGCCTAGCATGCACAAAGGTTAGGTCCCCAGCACTGTAAAAGTAAAAAAGTCTTACATAGAAGTAATTTATTTCATGTATATAATGTTAAGCTAAAATTTCTTGATCTTTTTACACATATTTAAATGTAAAATATGTTCAACTTATTTATATAAATTTTAGCCATTTGAAATTGACATTTTTAAGAATCTCATATCAGTACCACACAGGTATGTGTTATAGCCTATGTAGATACTTGTTTAGTGAATTGATGAACAGGTAAATGAAAAGTAAGGGCTCAGGATATAGCTCAATGGTGCGGTGCCTGCCTTGAAAGTGCAAGGTCCTGAGTTTGATTCCTGGTACTGAGGAAAAAAAAGAAAAAAAAAAAAGGTGAAAATCCTAATCTTTGAGAATTTAAGGGGAACAATTAGAATCTTAATAATCTAATAAGGACTGTTTTTTTGTTTTTTGTTTTTTTTGGTGGTGGTATTGGGGATTGAGCCACATCCCCAGCCCTTTCCTATTTTTTAATTTTGAAATAGGGTCTCAAAACCCAGGCTGCCCCGGCTGGGCTTGAACTTGTGATTTTTTTTCTTTGCCTCAGCCTCCCAGAGGGCTGGGATTACAGATGTGCACCACCATAACATGCTGGAAGGATTTTTAAAATGTGAAAACTCAAAATGAGAGACTGAGGAATAGTATAGATTGTAGCAGACATTTTTACATCGAAAAGAAATCATTAAAAATAGATGCAGATTATAACTTGTCTAAAATAGGTATGAAGGTAATTTTTCATTTCACATATATTCTGAAATTAAACTGAATATTTTCCATCCTTTGTATTTTATGTTTTATTACATTAATCTTGCCTATACCAGGTGACACTTAAAAGTAATAAAATCAGTGTTTTAAACTTTCTAGTTAAAAAAGGAAATATGTTATAGAAGACTGTGAATAAAAGAAATAATAATTTAGTCAGGAAATATTTCAAAAGCAGTTACAAGAATTATAGTGTTATCTAAACACCAGGTAGAGCTTAAACTTTCCTGTATGATGAGGTCATATATGATTATCATATTTTACCATGTTTCATAATACATGTTTTTTTAGAAACCAGTAAGCAGAGGATGAAGTTCCTGGAATCTGAATAATGTTATATGGTTATTCCCAGTTCTCGTCCCACCCCCAGGACCAGCTCTACCATGGGGTTGAGCCCCGGAGAGGACGCTACTCAGAGTTCACTGCAGAAGGCCTCTCCCTTGGCCAAGGTGGGCAGTGATGGGGTTATTTTTCTATATAAGATGTAGAAGCTCACCCATGCCGGAGGCTGATCAGACCTGTGGATACCTGCAGGAGGGAGGACAGGGAATAAAGAGAAACAGACAATATTCAAGGTGCAAGAGGACTGGGAAGAGCCTGCCTCTAGTGGGCCAACTCAGTGATCTCCATAGTCGAGCCAGTTTTATTAACCATCAGGAAGCGCTGGGGAAGGGTAGTGTACTTTTCCTGGGAACAGCCATTGCAGTAGGAATGGGCAACAAAAAATGAGGAACAAGTTCATCCTCACAGAGAGAGCAAGCTAATGCAGATGAAGTCCTTCCCCACACCTGGATTCCTGCATTCTTTTTGCATTGTCCTCAGCAGATCCACACAGCCAGGATACATGCAACCTCCCACATGCTTCCCTATTCCTAAAGCAAGTCACATTGGCCTCGGGACTGTGGGACGTGTAGACTGGCCCCTACCAATCTATACGTATCATGGGTGGTCCTCACATAGCTTGGTCCCAGCACACCCAAATAACTGCAAATTGATATATGAACTATGTTCACAATTATAAAATGTACAGTAAAGGTATTTTCCCTGATCATTGGTTCCCTTGCAATTACTGTAAGCATGAGATGTCAGTTCATAGTTGTTTTTTGGTAACAGCTTTCTTGAGATGTAATTGACCTGAGATTCCCATTCACCCATTCAAAGTGATCAGGGGCCTTTGCTTTATTCAGAGACACAGGACCATTCACCCAATCAAGTTAGAGCTCCTTCGTCCTGTGACGAAACCCTGCATCCGTAGCAGCCACCCTGTCATCCCCACTTCTCCCTCCTGTCATTCCCACCTAGTTGTACGGAAAGTGCTGTTGTGAACATCCGTTGCATGTTTGTGTGAGGTTTGTTTTTACTTCTGTTGGGTGTATGCATAGGAGTGTCATTGCTGTGTCAGACTATGATCTTTGAGGAACTGCAATCCAATTTTCAGCATAGCTACTCTACTTTCGTTCTCACCAGTATTGTGTTCAGGGTTCAGATTTTTACATATCCTCAGCAACATTTGTGTGTGTGTGTGTGTGTGTGTGTGTGTGTGTGTGTGTGTTTAACACTTTGTGGGACAAGCATGACTTTGGATGGCTGAACCACTGGTGGTACAAACAGATCTAGTCACTTTTACTGGTCTTTTTACTAATGAAACGAATAAAAAGCCACCAGATGGGACATTTACACACGTACCACTGGTGGCTCAAGCCACCCAGCAGTGAGACATACGAATTACGGCCCTGTCGTGAACTTGCAAACCTGTAGCCGTACATGCTACAGTCATGGGTCAGTGCTAGAGCTCTTGCTTAGCATGCGCAAGGCCTGGGTTCCATCCCTAGAACCACACACACCTGAATAAGTTGTGACAAAATATGTACAGTGTTACCTTGGTTCAGGAACTTAATTTGTTCCATGATTCTGGAAAGATGGCCACATTTGTGTTCATGTGGGACAGATGGCCGTGGTTGTGTTTGTTGCCTGATGCAGAGTTCGCAAACCAAAAATTCTGCCAAATGCTTCTGTTTGTGAATCAAATTGTTCACAAACAAAAGCATTTGTGAACCGAAGTGCAACGGTTACATAAAATGTACTGTTTTCACCGTTGCTAAGTGTACAGTTCACATTGTCGTGCAGCCGTCACCACCATCCACCTCCAGAGCTTGTTCAGCATCCCAAATTGAAACTGCCCTGATCTGTGACCCTCTGACTTCAAGGTTCCGCCGCATTAGGGCATGTGCTTGAATTCATTCATCCCTATTTAGGGCTGAGTAATGCTCTGTTTTATTTGCCTGTCTGCTGTTGATGGACACTCGGGCTGTTCCCGCCTTCCAGCTGTTGTGAGTGGTGCTGCATTGTCTGACTTTCTAAGGGGAGCCTTTCTCGAGGCGTCGAAGTCCCTCTCACTGTGGTTTGATTGGCTATCTCCCAATGGCTGCGATGTTGAGAACCTTATGGGATTGTTGGCCATGTGTCTGTTGTCTTTAGAGAAATGTCTGTTCAAATCCTGTGTGATGAATTCTTTTTTTTTGGTACCGGGAATTGAACTCAGGACCTTGCACTTTGAGGCAAGTGGCACCACTAAGCTACATCCTTGGCCCAGCGAATTCTTTATCTTGTTACTGAGTCATGGGAATTTTTACCTGGTCTAGAGAGGTGATTTGTAAACATTTTCTCCTTTTCTGTGGCTGTCTTTTCACTTTCTCCTTTCTTCTTGTTTTGCGGAGCTGGGCATTGAGCCTTGGCTTGTGTGTGCCAGGCAAGTGCTGTGACCCTGTGGAGCCTCCCCAGTTCCTGGCCTTGTCTTTCGTGATGGCGTCTTATGAAGCACAGGTTTTTCTTTTCAGTGTAGTCCAGGTTGTCCTTTTCTGAGTATTTGCACGTGCGTAGGGTGTTGCATGTAAGAAGCCATTGCCCACTCTAGGGTCCCAGGGCTGTGCCTGTGCTTCCTTGCAGCAGTTTTGTAGCTTCCACTCTTAAATTCGTGCTTTCGTCCATTTGAGTTAATGTTAACCTCCAAGGCATGAGGTCGGGGTTGGCTTCGTTGTTTTAGCACTGTTGTGGGAGGGTTGTTCGTTCCCTGTTGCACTGCCTCACCTCATTTGTGGGAAGTGAGCTGGCTGCAAATGTGTGGGCTCTTTCTGACTTGGTGTGTTGGTGCACCTGTCTCTCCGTGAGGCCTCGTGTTGCTGCCTTGGTTACTGTAGCTCTTGTAAAGCTTTTGTAACTTTGAAATGTGTCAGTACGATTCCTCCCTTTTGGCTCTTCTAGGTCCCTTGGATCAACTTGTCTCCTGAAAAGAATTTGCCTGGGGCATAGTGTGGATCACATTGTATCTGTAGACCAGTTTGGAGGAGCATTGTGATTTCAGCAACATTAAGTTTTCTTTCATAAACACTGGTGTCTCTATTTATTTATGTATTCTTTAATTTCTTTCGTCATGATTTTCTTTCTGCAAAAATATTTTTGATTAATGTTTTTCCAAATTATTGGTATTGTACTTATGATTCGATATAATCAATTGCAATTTTTGATGTATTTGGAAATTTGAAATTTCTCTATGGAACTTTAGTGTTACTGGGTTAAAATAAAAATTTCTCTGCAAATGCTATTTTGATTATATGTGAAATAGAAAATCAGTGTAAAAACATTCTGAAATGCAGTAGATGTTGAAGTCATTCTAGCAGATGGTTGTTGTAGAACAAAGTAGAAATTTCATTGAAAATGCTCAAGCTATAATTATATAGTTTCTGTTATATAACCTTTAAGTGATACTTATATTGGTTTAAAAGTTACTTGAAATTTAACTTTTCTCCTTGCTGAGACAAAATACCCAACACCTAAAGTTAAAAGAGGTTTATTTTGGCTCACAATTTGTAGCAGTTTCATTCCATAATTGGCTGGCTCCAAGGCAGGTTGGCACGGCAAAGGGGCATTGCAGATGGAAAAACAGTTCAAAGTGTGGAAGTCAGGAGGCAGCAAGAGCAGCAATGCAGTGGCAGCATCTTTCTTTCTATCCCTTGAATTCTGTTCAGGGTGGGGAGCACTCACACCTAGGGTGGGCCTTCCCATTATCCACACCCAGGACAGTGCCAGACCAGTCAGTGGACTGACTCATTTATCAGTGATGCACCCTTCACCCCAGCATCGCACACTCTAGCTCTGGCCCTCTGAAAAACCCCACCCATGACCCCACGAGGCTTTGGGACACAAGACATAACACTATCCAAAGCAAAGACTGATTATAGTTTGATATTTGGACTTTTGGTTTGATACATAATTTTATTTTGAAACAAAGGAACTTTTCAGTTTTTTTCCTATGATTTGATCTCATTGCGATTATTGATCACATAGCTTGGCTCATGTCGAGCACTGTTTGTCCCTACGGCTAGGAGGATTAGAAAACAGATCTCTATTACTCAACTTCCTGGGTATTATATCTATTTATCTTTTGCTTTTGTGAATGGGATATTCAATTGTAGCAATTTGTTATTTGTGCATTTGTTCAGTTTATCTAATAGGAAAATTTTACATAGAAATTTTCTATTGGCTCCCCTTACTAATTCTTGTATTGTTTCTAATAATTCTTTAGCTGATTAATTTCGGTTTTCTGGCTGAGTTATAGCACCTGCTTATAAAGATAATTTGGCTACCTGTCTGTCAGGTACTGACCTTACTCTGCTCTGTGGACTGATCAAGCTCCCTCCCGTGTTACCGGCAGAGGTGTCCACACTTAGCTCTGCTGGTCACGTCCTCCTGCTGCCCATGCCCACAGGACCCATCTCCATCCAGCTGCTCCTCCCTACCAGGCTCCCACCATCCGTTGTCTGCAGAACCCAGTCCAGCTCTCCTCTCTTGAACAGTGCCAGGCAAATGCTATGCACGTATTCTTCTAACCTAGAAAGGCTTTTGCTTTTAATCTTCATTACATTGAAGAAAACAGGCTTTGAATTTCTTCAGGTCACATAATTAACCTTGTCAGTCTGCTGGTCTTTCTGTCTTGAAAGTCCATGTTCTTAAACTTAATTTTTTTTACAGTATTCTTCCCTCTTTATTCTTTGTGCACATTTGTGTATCTTTTGTCTCATTTGATATCTAGAATTTTTATTAGCTAACTCTTCCGTTCTTTTTTCCCTTTGATTACTTTTCCTAAGGTCATTAGCCCTTATTTAAATTTAAGTTTTTAATGTGTAGGTCCTCTTTTTTTTTCCAATGTGAAATATTTAGGGCACTAGAAATAAAAATTGTGGTTAACTAGAGAACACACACACACACACACACACACACACACAGACACAAACTCTCAGGATTAATTGATGGTAAACGTCTGGTTATCTACAGTCCTTACGTATTGACTCTAGGTTTAATAAATGTGTTGGTACTTATTTTTATTTTATAATTTTAATTTCATATTGAATATCCATTAGGGCAGAAGTAATTGGTGAGCATTTTATTGATGAAAGGTACCAGCCAGGAGGGTGATGGTAGCACCCACTGGCTGCAGCACAATTGAGAGCGTCAGGGTACAGGAGGTCTGTTTCTGGCCCTCTTTGCCTTGGTTGTAAGGGGTACTTGACATGAGTCAAACAACTTGGTTACTTTCCCTGCGCTGTTTTTCTATCTGTAAAATGGGAATAATGACACCTAGCATTTAGAATTTTGTGAGGATTGCTCAAGACTGTGACAGCATTTTGAATAGCAGTGAAAGCACACTGACAGGAACGGCCTTTCATGGGGTGTCCTCCTCTTCAGCATCTTCTTAGCTCTGTCTTTATAGTCCGAAACAAATATCATTTATGTTCCTATTTTAGATCACAAGTGCACACCTGAGCCAAGAAGCACTGGAGTCACAGATGAGAGCTCTTATCTACACAGACTCAGACCTGCTTGTCACCCCAGTCATTGACAACCCGAAGGTGTGGCGGCGTGGGGACTTGGGGTGGGGGCTGTGCCTGAGACCTCATGGGAGGGTGGAGTCTGCCGCATGCTCTTTTCACAAAGAGCATTAGCCTTGCATTCTCTCCTGCTCCCTGCTTCCTCCACTTCGCAGGGCTCCCCTCCACCCTCCCTCCCATCCTCCCATCGCACTGCTGAAGAGTTTGCCCCCTTCTCCCTCTGGGACGGCTCAGTGCTCTGTCTCTCCCGCACTCCACGTTACAGTCCCTTCCAGGTTCTTGTCGTGACGCCTCATGGAGGCAGGTGACGGGGAGCTGGTTAGGGGCTACCCAGGTACCCTGCTGTCTCATGGGTGTCAGGACTGCCGGCAGATGATGAGGGGTGCAGAGGGAGTGAGGGGCTGCAGTTCATGATTCCCTTTTAACCCGGTCTGAGCGTGTTGCTTCACATCTTTAGGGATGTAGTCACGTTCCTAAAGGATGATGAGTATTTACCTTTTGATTCCACCACCCAACACACTTACGCTCTAACAACTGTTCTGATTTTAATTTTCCTGTTTCCCTGTTTGAAAATGTCTTTTTTCATAATCATGACTGCTTCCTTGTATCTCATTGAGGAACATTATTTTGTTTTGGGCTGAATGGATTCTTGGGTACACATTTATTTCTTAGCATTTCATAAAGATTAGTTTTTTTTCATAATGGAGCTGATTCTTTTTATGAATTCAGATGTCTGGTGGAATAACTCTTACGCTAAACTTGATGGATCATAGGTCTCTTAGTCATTTTCTTGTTGCTGAGCTATAATACCTGACACTTAAAGGACGAAAGGTTTATTTTAGCTCATGTTGTAGTCTGTGGTTGGCTGGCTCCAAAGAAGAAATAACATAGCGGCATGGTGGAGGAAAAGCTGCTTATGTCATGGAAGCCAGGAGGCAGAGATCTACAGGAGGAGCACCCTACCAGGACACAGGCAGTGACCCACCTCTTCTGACCAGACTCCACCTCCTGGCATCACCTTTAGTTACAGCAGCCCATGAGTCAGTTAATTCAAAAGCCCTGCTTATGATTGCATGAGGCTCTTGGGGGACATCTAGATACTACCCTTAACATTCTACCTTGGCTCTCAACTCTTTATGCAAAATGCATTTAGTCCATCTCTGAGAGTTGCCAAAGTCCTAACAGTTCCAGCATTGCTGAAAAATCAAAGTCCAAAGTCTCCTCTGAGACCTGAGGCAAACTTGTAGCTGTGAGCTCCTGTAAAAGTCAGAAAGTTAAACACTACCTGCATACAGTGGTACAGGAAAAACATTTTCATTCCTAAAGGGAGAAATATGGCTATGGAAAGAATGGACCCAAGCAAGACTGAAGTCCAGCGGGGCAAATGTTAAATTCTTTCGCTCTGTGGTCAGCACCCCAGGCAAGGTGTGGTCAGATGTGAAATGTAAATGGCTTGGGCAGTTGTTATGGCTTCTCTCTGCTCACTGCCCATTTCCTCCCTCAGCTGATGTTCCATGTTCCTGGCTTCTCCAACTTCCTGGAGTTTCTACTGCACTTTTGCTTTCACTCTCACAGCTTCCCACACTGCCCTCTCAGGCCACACTGCCTGGCCTCTTAGCTTTCTGAAATCGGAGTGGAAGCCTCCCTGACCCCACAACTCTTGCATTTCTGCGTGTGCCCAAACCTGGCACCACGTGGATGACGCCAAGCTATGACACAAGCTTGAGTAGTAGCCAGGCTTCCTTTAACCATGGCTGCAGAGGCCTCTTAAGTTCCTGGATGGCTGAGCATTGTGAACTGAATCCTAGGTAGCCATTCTTGAGCTTAGGTGCCCTGGGGGTCTCTTTTCAAAGCAAAATCTTGTACTTTTGCCCCTCTTAGTTTGTCAAGAGTGGGGCCTTGCTGACTCTTTACCTGCTCTCGAGATGTCTTTTCTATTATCCTGATCCAAAGTACTTGGCTTCTTTTTAATGCTAATATTTTAAGCAACCAAGCTCTCTTCTGCTCCACCTTTAGAGCCCATTTCTTTCTAGCAAAACTGAAAAATATAAATGGTCCATTTACTCCTCTATCTCAGTGTAAATCTGAGTAAAAGCAGTGAGCAGTGCCCATGGCGCAGCCTGAATGTTTGGCTGCCTTGAAATTTCCTCTGCCAGATTAATTGGTCCACTGTCCTTAATCTCGGTCCTTGCACGGTCTCAGGACATGAGTAGAAGGTAAACAAGTTTTCTGCTTGTGCATAATTCATAGGACCTAGCTTCCAACTGCCAGCAGAGTTCTCATTTCCAACTGAAATCTCATGAGCCTGGTCTTTACCATTTGTACTTCTGTCGGCATTCTGGTCTTCTGCACTTTGATCAGAGTCTCCCATCAAGCTCAGCTCACAGCACTCTAGGGCTTCTTTAATCAGCAGTGACCCCACTTCTTGGTACCAGAATCTGTCTTAGTCACTATCTTGTCACTGAGACACAGTACCCAACACCCACACTAAAGGAGGAGAGGTTTATTTTGTCTCATGTTTCAGTCCGTGGTTGGCTAGCTTCAAAGAAGAAACAATAGCAGAGGGACATGGTGGAGGAAAAGATGCTTCGGTGCTGGCAGTCAGGAAGCAGAGAGAGGAAAGGGGGAACTGGGGAGGGAGACGCCCCTCCCAGGTCATGACCCCAGCCAGACCCCCATCTCCTAATATCACGTTTAGTGTCTCTGTGATTCACCTCCCACAAGTCCTGCCTCTGACTTTGCAGGGACATCTAGATATAAGCCATGATAACGAGGTGTTTCTCATTCTTTATATCCGAATAATAATTCCCTTATGTGGGTATACCATATTTTTTTTTTCTGTTTATTGATAAACGGGCACCTAGGCTGTTTCCAGAGCTCAACTGTTGTGAATTGTGTTGCTGTAAACATTTTAAAAAGCTTTTACACAGCACAGGAAACAATCAGCAGAATGAAAAGACAACTCACAGAATTTTACCAGCTACACTTTTGATAGAGTTCTAATGTCTAGAATACCTGAAGAAGGCAATAGAAATTTTTTTCAAAAACACATTGTTTCTGTTTAAGTATTTTAATCTGAAATAGCAGATTCCTTTTTCTTTTTTGATGACTTTTTTGTGATGTGATTCAGGAGACACTTTTTCAGACAAACGTATAGCTTACAAGTTTATTTTCTTCTTGAACCACAGATAATGAAGCAAGCACCAATTAAATTTGATCCAAAAATATTGCATCTGCCAGCACGTTCAGGTAGGACCAGAGGGGTTGTTTAACATGAAACGCTTTGTCCACGGATACAAACACAAAGTTGTTTTACAAATGGAAGATTTGTGTGGGATAGCAGAGTCTTTCCCTGCCCCTTGATTGTGCTCTGGGGGCAGCTCTGTGGAAGTTACAAGCCCTCGTAACCTGCCTTGGTGGCTGAGTCCTGATGCCCTGTGCCCTGTGGGTGGGGACGTTCTGGGGAGCTGGGCGAGTTTTCCTGTGGGTGGAGGAGGGTCTTCTGCCCTTCCCCTGGGGCCTCTGGGTTTCTGCAGGGACAGTGGTGTGGTGGGTGTTCAGGGCCGGGGACCACAGTTTGGGGCAGTCGAGTTCCACCTGGGCTGGAAAGCTCACTCTTGTAGGGCTGGGGTTTGAATAGAAGGAGTTGCCTGTGGTTGTATCACTCCAACGCACCCAATCTCGTCTGAATAGAAACTGTTAAAGGGTTATCGTGGTCATTGCAGCTAATGGAAGCTTTTCTGGGGTGAACATTAGAACTTTGCATATCTTGTGTTGACTTTTTTAGCTGGACAACTTACAGCTTAATGTTAAGGTAGATTCAGGGAAAATTCTTCATTGTGGCTAGAGTAGAATCTTTGGTTTAAAGTAAATTTATAATAAAATCTATTCAAAGTTATATGAACCAAGTAATGGCTTATATAAGTCAACGTAATTACTGATTAAAAAAAACTAAGAGAAACTACATAGAGAGACATTTTCAAAAGGCCAAAGTTGGGGCCGGGGATTTAACTCAGTGTTTCCACTGCCTGTCTCGCAAGCACAAGGTCCCAAGTTGGATCCCTGGTACCAAAACAAAACAAAATAAACCAAAAAGGCTAGAGTGAAGCGAAGTATTGATAGTGCTTTCTGTGTCAAGAAGTATTGATCATGGAAATCCAGACGATTACTATGGAGAAATTATGTTCTTTCATTTTTTCCCCTTTGAGTTGTTCAGGGAGTTATTTTTACAATTATTTTTTCTTTAGTTTTGTGCTTAGTTATAGTGTGGGTTGTAGGACAATCCTCCTTTAGTTGTGTGCTTGTTTTTTTTTGAGTAGAGTTTTCAATTGAATTAATTAAGAAGCATCCGTGGACGGCTGGGGATTTAGCTCAATAGCACAGCGCCTGCCTGGCAAGTGCAAAATCCTGGGTTTGATCCCTGGTGCCAAAAAAAAAAAAAAAAAGTATCCCTGGGTAGACAGAGATGAGGAATATAGGCGACAATTAAATGTATTATCTTTAGAGAGATTATTTATTGACAGTACTGCAGATGGAACCCAGGACCTTGCACCCAGCTACATTCCAGGCCTTGAATTTTTTTTTTTTTTTTTGTTCTGTGATCATGTCTCACTAAGTTACTCACTTGCCCAGGTGGGCTTGAAGTTGCAGCCCCCCTGCCTTGGCCTCCCAGAATGGTGGGATTACAGGTGTGCACCGCCGTGCCTGGGTGATTTTGACAGTGGTAATGTCAGAGTCTGCTTTGTCCTCATTGGACCTGAACTTTCTTTGTTTGACTTCTCACGTGATGTTTCAGGGATCCTCCTGTGTTTCATGCACACTTTTACTGCTTTGCTCCCTCTGTAGTCGATACGCTATTATCTCTGAAGGACCAAGACTGGAACGACTTTTTGCAGCAAGTGTGCTCGCAGATCGACTCCACCGAGAAGAGTGCGGGGGCCTTGCGGGCTAAGCTGAACCTCCTCTGCTATATGTGCGTGGTGGCTGCGCACCAGGAGGTCGCCACCAGGCTCCTCCATTCTCCCCTGGTAAGCGCTGCTGCTTCCAGGGTCCTGGCAGCAGGCTGTGTGTGCTTATCTTTCTTGTTTCCCTGGAGGTTGAAACAAGGGTTAAAGTATTTGATTTAATTACGATGGAAAATGGTTCATCTACCACAAGTTCATGAACATTGTCCTCGTTTTAATGCATACATCGTCTAAAAGTAGTTAGGTAGAATGGCGATTGGAAGTTTTTCTTTTGTAATATTTCATTGTATGTTAATGTTTTAATTAGCATAGCGTAGTTTTCACTGAAATCACAGGACAGACCTCACACTGTAGGATCTCCCTGTGTAGAATAGGGGCTCCTTTACTGTATCCCCCGTAAATGACCTCCGAGGTTTCTGGTGTGATTAAAAGGAGATGTCCATGTCCTAAGACTTCTGTTTTCTGCTCCTGGGAATGTTCTTGGATTGTCTCCATTTACTGGTAAACCCATTGGGACTTGATAGTGCTTTTGAAGTTATTTTCAGCAAAGAATTATGATGATTTGGAATTATTTTCCATAGGGAAATATTTCATTTGGGAACTGGCTGAAAAAAGCACTAGTTCATTTTCCTTTTAAGACGGTACTAAGATTACTTGTCTGGTAGCTGGTGTCTGTTGCATGGCGTGGACGTTTAAGGGATATAAAGTGGTAGAAGAAACAAAAAGTATTTTTTGCTTTTATATTCATCTCAGCACTTTTTGCATTTTGTAAATTATTTTCTTGGTGCACAATTCACATTTTTGTTGCATAAAGATCTGATTTGTTACCTTGGAATCACTTTCTGTGTTGTTTCTTGAGTTAAATGTGCATTTTTACTTTTTATCCTAGTTTCAGCTGCTAATCCAGCATTTGCGAATAGCTCCAAACTGGGATATGTAAGTAACATTTATATTTCAGAAATATTCTTTATGATTTTATGAAGTTACTGCAGCTTACACACTCATCATGAGCAGGTCCTAAGTGGTTATTATAAATTATTCTGAAGTAAAGTTGACTGATTCATAGACAATTTCTGGAGGCATCCTAATTATAAATTTAAAAAGATTTAAAAATAACCATTATCCTAATATTATAAATAAAATTCTGAGATTGTCTAAGCTACTTCACTGACTGCTGTTGAGTGTTTACTATGGGGCTGGGGATTTAGCTTAGTGGTTCCACCGCCTGGCACCTCAAAAGCTCAAGGACCCGAGTTCGATCCCTGTTACCAAAGGGGGGAAAAAAAAAGCACATTCAGCGGTTCCTATGCACCAGACCCCTGTGATTTAATTTATACTCCTAGAGTTTGCCTTTGGGCACCTGTAGCTTCCCTTCCCAGGATGTTGTCTGTAATCTTGTGGGATTTTAACCTGCAGAATCCAGAGAGGAAGGGTGCTGGCTCTCTACAGAAGCAGCAGGCCTCAGTGAGAAGCACGGTGATAGGTCAGGTGACAGAAGACTCTGGGCTCTGGCTGCCAGTGAGACGCGGCCAACTGATTAAACCTTCTTCTGGGCCTGCACTTCCTGGGGAGTCTGTGTGGGACAAGGAAATAGTGTAGGTTTGGGTTTTAGACAGATTGTCCGTTCGGCAAACTGCTTTAGCTTCTGAGCCTCAGTTACCTCCCCTGTGAAATGGGGACAGTGTAACTACTTCATAGGTTTTGGTAATAATTAAACTGTGAGTGAGATTGTCTGGTGCTGGGTGATTAATGTATCCTGGGGCGTGGCAGGCTTACTTAGGTGCAAATCAGAAGTACATGGGGAGACGGGGGTGAGGAGATGTGAGGTGTGGTGTAGAGAATGATAGTAATTATTTTTCCTGAACCGCAGGAGTTCGCACAGACCTCTTTGGGGCATTATTCTGATGCATCATCTAATGCCACCCTCCCGAAGCAAAGCTGACATTGCAAAATAGGGCTTAAGGGAATGGTTGAGTAGTTGGTACTTTGAGAAGGTTTTCGGTGTGCCCTTTAAAAAGAAACCATGGAGCCGGCCGTGGTGGCTCACATCTGTAATTCCAGTACTTGGGAGGCTGAGGCAGGAGATTGCTGTGAGTTCAAGATCAGCCTGGGCTACATAGTGAGTTCCAGGTCAGTCTCAACTACATAGTAAGACCCTGCCTCAAAGCAAACAAACAAATAAAAAGAAACCATGGACGCCGCTGCCTTGTAAGTGCAAGGTCCTGAGTTCTATCCCTGGTATCAAAGGAAACCATGGAAATCCTTACTGTTTAAACACAATTCTTGAAAACACACCTTCACATAGGTCCTCTGCTGACACCAAGGTGGATGGTCTTGATTCTGTCCTACTGCTGTTTTAAGAACTATTTTCTTTCTTTCTTTCTTTTTTTTTTTTTTGTACCAGGGATTGAACTTGGGCCCTTGGGCTTGTGAGGTAGGCAGCGGCACCACTGAGCTAAATCCCCAGCCCGTTTTGTTTCATTTTTAAAACTCAAGTTTAATCATTAAACAGTTTTGGCTGGAAGAGAATGGTAAACAGTAAGGTAGACGACAGGTCCTCTACTAGGCACTGCTTTTCCTCTTTCAAATGCTGCTGCCATGTTTTCCACTTTTATTTTTTACTTATTTTTATTTAAGTAGGTGTTCATATATCCTTTTTTTTCATGTTTTGATCAGTTTTCCAAGTTCATCTGGCATATAGAAATGCAGTCACATGATATGGTTTCCTAAGTTTCTCTTCCCCTTGTGTAAATTATTATGCCATTAATTTGAGTGAGATAATGTTTTGAAGGCTATTGTGATAATTTTTATTTATTCTGTGCTGCTCTTTGGGAACAGTGTTTTTGGTAAGCATTTTTGTGGTTAAATCTCTGTGCCTGCTTTTTCTTTAGGACAGAGTCAGAGAACAAATGGGTGGAAGACAACTGTGCTTCTTCTTTTGTTTTTTTTTTTTTTCTTTTGGTTACCAGGGTTCGAACTCCAGCCCTTGCACTTGCGAGGCAGGCGCTGGAACCACTGAGCTAAATCCCTGGCCCCATGCTTCTTAGTTTTCTGTTTTTGTAACAAAAGACTTGAGATGATCAATTTATAAAGCAGGAAGGGTTTTTGGGGCTCACTTTTGGTGATTTTAGTACATGACCAGGTGGTCCTGCAGCAACACACTGTGTTTGGCAGACTCAGCTGTTCCCCTCCTGGTGGCCAGGAAGCAGAGAGGGGAGGAGGGTGGGGGCCAGTGTCCTCTCCCACCACCTGCAGGACCTCCCTGAGGGTCCCACCACTTAGAGCTCCTGCCACCTCCCAGGAAGGCCAGGCTGGGGAAAGCCTGAAACACCAGGGCCTTTGGGGACATTGAAGACCCAAGTTATAGCTGTAGTAAATGTTTTGTGACTTCTCATCCATTGCTAAAATGCTCTTTGAAACATTGTATCAACATATACTCCAGTGTCTTCTGCTGGTAGCCACTGACTGCAGTGGTTCTTGAAGCTAAATAAAAGTAGATGCTTAGTCCCTAGCTCGCCCTTATGGTCCATTTCTGGTGGATGCTATACTGGGCAGTGCCGCATAGGGGCGCTTCTCTCACCAGCAGAACTTTGCCCAGCAGTGCTATCGCCCGAGACTGGAGTGATTCTGGGGTGCAGTGTGCTGAGTCTTAGGGGAACCTGGGCTCTGAGGAGGAGCCAGGCAGGTGAGGCAGCCGGAAGGAGATTTCTGTTATAAGCTGAGGGCTAAGTAGTGTATACCTTAAAAGCATAAGGGTTTTAAAGTAGTTTTTTTGTGTTCTCATGGAAACTGTTTTGAGTGGGATTGCGGCAAATTCAGTTGACATGTTACAATACATTTTTATAGTGGTTGAATACGTCTACTAGCCAGTGTTTAATTTTATGGAGTAAAAAAGGATTCAGTGTCTCCCGAGTGCTGTGAGCTTCAGTTTGCAAAGCGAATTCTCTGTGTTTGTATCTTCACTTCATAGTGAGTGCTGGTCACGGCACATGTGAGGGGACCTGGGTGGTAGCCAGGCCGTCCCTGCCTGGCACACGTGGAGGCTGGGACACGTGACCTCACTGTGGGCATCAGGCCAGGCATCTTTCCATCATTGTGACATATGTCTCAGATGGAAATGTTGGAGAGGCTGCGGTCCTGGTGTCTGAGCCCTGTTTCTTTGGGTGATGTTATAGGTTGGGAGTCCCTGGGGGAGGCATGGTCACCTCATGGTAGCCGGAAGCTCAGAGAGAAGAGGGGCCCAGGTCTCTGCCATCCCCTTCAGGGGTGGCCCCCAGTGACTCAACTCCTTCCGCCAACATCATGGCAAAAGTGTGGCCGAAAATCTGGTCACTTCCTGGAGGCCAGGAACCTGTCCAGGTGCCACCCTGTCCTGGGAGTGGCAAGGCTGGGGACCAAGCCTTTAAGACACATCTTGGGGACATTGAGGATCCAAACCAGAATAGTGGCAAAGCAGTGACTAGAAACTTTAAAAAAATATCCTTGGTTCAGTATCCTAACAAATCCTTTACAAAATAATCACTTTCAACACAGTCATGGTGGGGCTAAAATTTGCATGTCTTGCTGCAAGTGGCTTGAACCACCAGTAGCACCCACATGACTGTCCTACGCACTGCTGTACCACTCCGACCAGTGGCGGTGCAAGCTACCGTGCTGGTTCAGGCTGGCGGGAATGTGCTGAGGTGTGGTGGTTTTATTCACAAGTAGGCCCTAATCATGTAGTAGCTAGGACTTCATGAATCTGCATGTGTTAGGGTGCTCAGTGGGTGGTTCAGGTGCTGAAATCCATGAGAACCCTTCTGTATGAAAGAGGTGGGCAGCGCATTTCCCATGCTCCTCTTCCAGGGTGACTCGTTTCCCTTCCACACATCCTCAAAGATGTATTTTAAGAAGCTGAAAAACAGCACACACTTGTTGGGCGAGAAGACATGCACACACCACTGAGCAGAAGTGTGGTTTGTGTCAACTTATTTTTTCATTGAAAAAAACTCATTAAAATTAATTTTCTTCATTAAATAAATACTTGCTCAAATCACACTGAAGTTTTACTTAATTTATCAACTTCATTTTCTACTAGATACCAAAGGGAATGTGTTACAAAATTAGTGTTTATTTAAAAAGCAACATTTGTAAGCTGTTTTATTGTAAACCTTTCTATTGCATGGCGTATGTCCCCACATGTTTGACAGTTCTGGTTTTAGTTATTTACTGCACACCTAGAAGCTCCCTGTCCTTCTAGCAAGTACCCCAGAGGCCGATAGGCAAATGCTTCTGCTCTCAGAGAGAGAAGGGTTAATCACCACTGCCCTCTTCTCTCTGGTGAAGGCCCGTCACAGTTTTATTTTCCATTTTACTGTTGGACACAGCTTACGTTTTGTCGGCATCACAGACTGCTATTTGTGTGTCCCCGTGAGCAGGAGGGGGTGTGCCCTGGGCTGTGTACTTCATACCTCGTGTCTCACGTGCATGTGTGTGATGCTGCGAGCTGGTGGCTCCTCGGTGCCCACCTCCTCAGAGCTGCGTCCTCTCCCTTCACAGACGGGCCAGAGTGGCGCGGGTGATCGGTCTGCTGGCCTTGCACACGAGTGAGCTCCAAGAAAACACACCTGTTATTGAGGTAATGTCTTTCATCACTGTTGTGTTATTAATGCTACAGAGATTGTTTTTGGTTTTATAATTCGGGACATACAGCTTTCATCAGCCTTCCTGTGATTTCCCTCTGTGGCCCTATGGCCCTGTGGCCCTGGCAGGATGGTGACCCTGGGCATTGGAGGCTTCACTGGCACAGCTCTGCTATGCACCAGGCTGTTGTGAAAGCCATGTGGCAGAGGCACAGCCTCGGGAAAGCAGAGCTGTAATCACACTTTTCACCCGCAGTTTAGTGTTTCCTTCCTCGCCAGCTGCCAGTCATTTCTTGACACCCGATCCTGGCATTTGATGGTCATGTGCACACCAAAGATATTTTCTAGAACCGTCATTTCTTTCAAGTACTGATATTTGAAGCTTTTCTTGCTTAGGTAATGGGTAACCCCAGGCCCTGTGCAACGAGTGCTACTGCTCTGCAGCCCACATGAGCGTCCTTGAATGTCAAATGTTTCTTCCTGTTAATATTGGTTATGCTTAATTGGTAATGAGTTTTTATCCCTTGGGCTAGGAAAGGCTCAAGAATCAAAAATAGATGAAAAAATTTGATCCCCGGTACCAAAAAAAAAAAAAAAAAAAAAAAAAAAAAAAAAAAAAAAAAAAAAAAAAAAAAAAAAAAAAAAAAAAAAAAAAAAAAAAAAAAAAAAAAAAAAAAAAAAAAAAAAAGAAAGATGAAAAACATCAAGGCTTTTGTGGGCAGGGCGAGCTCTTACAGAAAGGAGAGGGGGTCTGGGGGAGCTGGAGTGGGGGCTGTGATATTTGGAACGTGGAGAGGGATTGTTTAGCCCAGAACTTTCTAGCTGAATTTTCTGTGGTGGTAGAAACCTGTAATGGAGACCAGGAGGCATTGAGGGCGTGGGACTGTTTGGGAGAAGAGTATCGCAGGCAGGGTGACAGCAGCAACGAAGGACTGGAGGTAGAGGTTCAGGATGCCTGGGGAACCCGGTGGTGAGCACAGCTGGAAGAGAGCCGGGAGGAGATGAAGGGAGTGAGGTGGGGGCGGTGGTGAGGTGAGGACTTGGGGGGGCTCATTCAGAATGAGATGGGGGCCTCAGAAGATTACAGGCAGAGGACCCTCCGTGAGGCTTCTGGAGAAGGGTCACACTGTCTGTTAGAGACCTGGTGAGGTGGCTCTGGGAGTCCGTGCTGATCTGAGTCAGGTGTCACCCTCACGCACACACACTCCGCATGTACACCTGTATGTAAATACGTAGGTACACGCGCACGGACACATGTACATACATACATTTACTTCCTGGTGTGTTTGAAGAGTGCTGACATTTGCTAGTTGCCGTGCTAATATTTTAGTTTATTTTTGGTACCGAGTATCAAACTTGGGTTCTTGAGCTTGTGAGGCAGTCAGCGGAACCACTGAGCTAAATCGCCGGCCCCATGGTAATATTTTAAAGCAGCCTTTCATACCTAAGACGCCCAGCCAGAATGAATTTTAATGTTCAGTATTGAAAATGCTGTGTCACCACAGAAATGCAAATTGGAACCGAGATGCAGTGGAAGCCTGGCAGGGAGTGGAGCCACTGAGTAGAGGGATGCGGCTGTGGCCAGCGGGTACGCACGCGGTCACAGCCCTGCACAGCGACCTGGGGTCTCTCAGCACTAGGTGCTGTGCCTGGCCCCGAGTGCCCTGTGTCCGGTGTGAGCAGTGGCCGATATGGAACGATGGAGTCCTAAGCAGTGGCGGCGATGGGCCGGGCAGCGGACCTGGGGACCTCGCGTCCATGCACGCTGTTCTCACCTCAGTGGGCCACTTCAGGGAGGACAGATGTGTTCAGAAAGGTCGGGTTGGGGTGGTCCTGGCTTGGGGCAGCTCCGCCTCCGCCTGACTCCATAGGAAAGGTGTGTGCAGGTGGGTGTTGGGGGGGGTCTGGGCCAACAGCACGGACTGAACCACCTGGGGCTGCCGTCACTTCCTGTGTGCAAGGCCTCCTGTGTCACGGAGTCACAAAGGTCTGGACAGGCGCGGTGCAGCAGCCTGGGAGCGTCGTCACTCACCTGGCTGACATGCCTGTCACCCCTGCCTGCGGCCCATGCTCCGGGTGCTGTGAGCACCACCATGGCGACTGGCACCAGCCCGGACTGCACGGTGGCTGTGCCCTCGGCTGCCCTCTTGGCCACGCTGCCTCCAGAGACCAGGTGTGCAGTGTGCCCATTGTCCCCTTCCTAACCCTTCTGTTTCTGTCTGAGAGAGACGGTGCCTGTTCCTGAGGTGCCCGTGTCTTCCATTTCTGCGGGGGATTTGCTGATGCTTGCTTAATTGGAAATGGAAACCCTTGGGGAAGATCATTCCCAGTCCATTAGAAGGCACTAGTGTATATTTCGCCGTCTGGTGAATGGTTTTGAGTTAGTGAGCTACACTCACTGGGTATTGAATGAAGGCTGCAGAAGTTGAAGTTGGGCCAGTGCCCCTTGGCGATGCTGTTGTTTTATTGTTTGTTTATTTGTTTTGTAGGCCACTCACCTGAGCACAGCTCTGCCGGACCTCCCGTTTCAGTGCACTTGGTAGTTGTTTTGAGCAGTCAGCAGTGACAGCTTGAACTACCACTAGAGGTCACTCATGTGCCGGGGAAAAGCCGCATGCGTTTGACAGTGTTTCTTTCCACTTCTGCCTTTCCTGTGGAGGCTTAGCTGGGATGTGGTGCTGTTTTATTTTTTTCTTGTTTCTAGAGGTTTCTGCTAACACACTGGCACTAGCCATTGGTGATTGTCAGTCAACATTTGAGGTTAATGAGGTTAGTGAAAGGCAGGACTCCTCCCTGGAGAAACAGACTCAGCACCTTGCGTCTGACCACAGGGGCCATGGGAGCCCATGGAGCCCACCACCACTGATGTTCTGAGCTCCTGAGGCCAGGTTTGTGTAAAGCTCACAGCTGGGTGCTCATGGATGATTCCTTCATAAACTGTTGACAAAATCTTGGGTGTGAGGTGAATCTTGATTTCTCTAATAATCTCACTACCAGCAGATAGTAAAAATGGTTGTTGCAGAGCCCATAAGGTATGGAAGGGACAGTGCAGAACCTCACTTCTCACGCCCGCTGGTGATGAGCCAGTGAGGTGAGATGCGTTTCAGGTACTCAGTCAGTGCTGAAGGTTTGGGAAGGTTACAAGAGTTAGGAAAAACGTGGTGGTGTAATTTGTTAAAGGGACAAGCAAAAGATAAAATAATCTGTTTTCTGTCCTTATGATGTGATTTAGGTTTCCTTATCTGGTCACGATCTCTTATGCATTTAGAAGCATTGCTTTCATTCCTTCTTAATTATTTGTTATTAGAGTGTGTTTGCGGTGTGTAATAATTTCATCATCTTGGGTAATGGTGCATATAGGTAGCACGTGGTGATCGTTTTACTCCCCCTTCTCCCACTGCCCTCTTTTTTATTTTCCGCAGCACTAGAGATTGAGCACTGAGCTGTATCCCCAGACCTGTAAAATTTTAAGACAGGGCCTTGTTCACTAAGTTGCTCTGCCAGGGTTCAAACTTGCTGTCACCCTGCTTCATCCTTCTGAAGTGCTGAGATACAGGCATGAGGTTCTGTGCCCTTCAAAAAGAACACATCAGGGAAGTAGTCCGTGGGGGCCATAGCTGAGTGTGTTCTAGGAGACAGGTTCTGGTTGGAGAAGGTGGTCACCGAGACGTGACCGGGAAGGGTCTGTTCAAGGACCAGGAGCAAAAATCAGAACTAAAATACATAAAAATTTTACAGCTGGACTACAGAGTACCTCTAAAGTTGGGGCCATGGACAGCATGTTACTAAAAATGAAGCCAAATACTTTATATTGGGACAGAAAAATCCCCTGAGGACATCTCAGGAGTTGGCCAGATCCCACTCATCACATGCTCAACTTATAAAAAGGTAAATTCCCTTAAAAGACAGCTTTAAGAAAGGAGCCCTGGGGCCCCCTGCACACTCGGGGCTACCTAGGGAAGAGTATCCCTGAATTTAGCCGTCCAGGCCCTTAAAAGCCACTTCAGCCATGGACCAAGGGATCCAGGGTCCTGCTCGAGCTGGCAGCAGACATCAGAGGCATCCACACCGTGCTCTTCATCAGTATACAGTGTGCAGGAGTTGCGAGGTCATGGAAGTGTCCAACCTAGACTCCAGAGGAGAGCTTGGGAGGCCAGGCAGTGCATCGCTGGTGTGGGAAGCTGTGAGAGTGAAGGTGAACGCGCATGTGCAGGGGACGCCCTAGGAACTGGAGACGCCAGTAAGGTGCAGGCCCTGAGCAGAGCCGGCTCAGGAGGGAGGCCGGGAGGGCGGGGCTGCGCAAGCTCTCAGGAGCTCCCATCTGGGCAGCCTGCCCCAGGGCTAGATAAGGAGCTACAGGAATTTTAATCTGTGCCCTGGTGGCTTTCTTCTTGCTTTGATTTGATTCCTTTTTATTCCCTATTCCTACTTAATGCAGTAGAAATATTTACCCTGTGCCTTTGTATGTTAGAAGTATTTAACTTTCCTTTTAAATTTTGCAGGACCTTACATCTAAGAGTTTGCTTTGAGTCTCTGAGGAGACTTTGGACCTGAACTTTTAAATAACCCTGGAATTAGCAATTTTTAGAGCTGGACTAATTGCTTTTTGTATAGTGAGATAGACTGAGTCTTTTGGAGATAAGAGGTTGTTTTAGTTACTTTTCTCATTGCTAGGGCAAAATAGCCGACACCCATAAGTTAAAGGAGGAAAGGTTTATTTCAGTTCCCAGTCTGTAGAGGTTTCAGTCCATATTTGTCTGGCTCCAAAGCAAGTGGCGTGACAGAGGGGTGTCACAGAGTAGAAACAGTCCATGCTGTGGCAAGCAGAAAGCAGTGAGCAGCAGCAGCAACAACAAGCTTGCCTCCCTTCTCTCCCTTTGTACTCCAGCCTATTGATTGCATCCACATCCAGAGTGGGGCTTCTAGAATTGTAGCCCATTTAGTTATCACCTACCCTTAATCACAGAACCACACACCCTAGATCCAGCCACCTCCA